TTAAGATTCTCAGGCTTCTGGTCTCCAGTGATTGCTTGTTGTGCGTTTCCATGTTTGCCTCCATTTGTTTCGCTCTTTTGACGACTTTTGACGTCTAGCGAAAAAAAAAAAGAAGAAAAGAGCCAAAGCCATTATCTAAAAATACTGAAAAACTTGTTTGTTGCATAGCAACAGGGATGAACAGATATCCCCGGCACCCTCCCTGTTGGTAGACAGGCGGAGGAGCCTGGCGTCTGTTCGCGGCGCGAGGCCGCCATGACACCTCCAGAAGGCGCGAGAAGGCAAAGCGTGCTGCCGGGACATATGCGGTTATTACGGCGGGAAGCGTCTGTTTGATCACACCTTCATTTTGGTCACGGAGCCGTAATTGCTGCAGTGATTTTGCGCAGTTTTAACTGCCAGAAAGCACCAGTGGTACTTTGCTTGATTGCTCTGTTCGTTTGGTTTGGTTTGGCTGTCCTCTGTGTCCTCGGTGTCCTCGGCTGCTGTCCTTTTCTTTTAATCTGTCTTCTGTTTGCTTCATCCAAACCAAACAGTGTTGCTTCCCGTGTTTAAGAAGAACGCCTGCTTTTGTTCCAAAAGATGTGAACATACTTTGGCCGCACTCACTGAAGAGACAATTCAATTTGAAATCTACATATATTGATAATTTAGTGACTGGGGGGCTGCAGGAAGTAATAAGTTGATCAGCCCAAACAAACCCCTTCAGGAGACACACAGCAACACAACAAGCTTTAATGGGCTTGTTTTTGCGGGTTCATGTTCATCCTCCTGCAGCTCCAACAAACTCCTGAGGGAAATATGTGGCTCCTTAGCTGCCGAATGTTCTCATCTGTCGCCAGCGGGTCGCTACCCGTCCCTGTAAACAGCGCTGTAAAGGCGAGGGGCGAGGACCGAAACAGGGCAAAGACGGCACCGTGGAGACTGTACACATGCAGCCATTTTATCCATTAAAAGAAACATGTTGATCATATCAGCCTTAAATAAATGCATCCTCGCGCAGGGGACCAGCTCAACGCCTTGTTTGTGTCCCCAACGTTCTCCCCCGGTGCAGATCAGTGTCCCCAGATAACTTTGTGAGGGAGAGTCGACGACGTTGTTGTCTATTTCTTTCTCCTTGTGGTTCTGTCCCTCCCCAGTGTGATCTGTTGGGGGGGGGGTAACATATGTTTGTTACGCCCGTCAACTCATTGCATGATGTATTAACCCTGTAAAGGTTTGTTTGGTGTTACGCGTTTAACCAGCCGATTGACTCAAAACGCCGCACATCGTCAACGGAGATTCATTTGTTCGATGGATCCTACTGAAATACGACAGCGAGACGCCGTGTCACGCACGGCCTAACAAAGATACGTTTTCACCAAGTAGATCTCAGGCCCGAGAGCTCCACCGCGTTATCGCCTGCAATCACGCCGGCTGGTAATACGAAGCGGAAGAGACGCAGTCGCCGTTGGGCTGCCGGAGAAGGGAAGGCTTCTGGCTGCTCGGTGACTCCTTTCAGCAGCATTGTGGGGAAACGTGCTTTGTGCGCCCTTCAACACTCATCACTTGCCCCCCTCCCTCCCTCCTCCCTCCCTTCAGGCGGCTTCATTGTCAATCCGACCTGTTTGGTGTGACATTTTTCTGGAAAAAGGGGCCTTTAATCTCCCACGGGGACAAGGTCAGACGGGTATATGATACATGATATTCATGAATAGTTGAATAGTTTACAGGAGGTCAGTCATCTCGACACATGCTATGCTAGTGCCGTTCTAGCTTAGCGTAGCCTGGCGCGTTAGCTCCTGTATCTCTCTGATGAGCACACTGAACACAAGGTCTTAAGGCGCAGAGTGCAGTAGGTTTGGAAGGTGTATTTTATGCACATATGACACACGGCACTTTTGTGTGTGCTTCTGTTTTTTTACACAAAAATTCAGTTTATAAAATCCTCACGAGAATGATTGATAGTCACAAAACTATAATAATAAACAACTGAAAAATGACATATTTCAGTTCACAGAAAATACTTCTTCTATTTGGCAGAAGGCGGACGTGAAACATCAGTCAGGGGTGAAGTGCATTGTGGGCAAAGATCAACATGCAAACTCACAAAGCATCAACCAAAGCTGATCATGAGCATGTTTTATGAAGAAGACCTGGTTCTCAGCTGTATGCCAGAGGAACTGTCTTTCTCTTGGGGGGGGGGCTCTGGTCCAGGTGCACCCTGGGAAACCTTGAACCTCTTGCGTCGAGGGAGCTCCTTTCTCTGCCGTTTCTTTGTATCTTCGCCAGACTCCCGCCGAGAGCCAAGCTGATGAAGAACTCATCTGTCCGAGTTCCGCCGCCTCCGCGGCTCCCCGTAGAGCTCCGTTACGTCTGCTGTGAAAAACCTCCGCTTCCATTCGCTCCGCAGCTACGAAGCGAGCGCCGCCGGCCTCTGACAAGCGTCTGCACTTATTCGCCCACGCGTTCGCGTTAACGTCTCCTCGGCCGTGTGTGCAAAGGCCGCAGCGTCCCGACTGATGCACTTGAATGTGCCTTTTAAAAGGACGAGGGAGGAGAGCGTTAGTTTTTTTTTTTTTGTTTATTTGTCTTCCCAGATGTTGGACTTTTCCAAGCGAGTAAATATCTCCCGCTGTGCAGAGCGAAGCGTCTGCGTTGAAGTCGAGTTGAAGCCGTCGATTTGTTCCTTCGGCGATTAATCTGCTCTCCCTTCGTTTGTTCGCTCGCGCACGCCGACTGCAGCGGCCTCAACGCTCCTCAACTCGCTTAAGTTGGGTGGTTTCACTCCACGGTTCAGGGTTCCAGAATGTGTCTCCCGTCCATTTGGTCAAAGCCAATTTGCTTTGATTAAAAGCCGGTTTGAAACACGAGAAGACCCGAAGTTCAGTCGTAGGACATAATGAGAAAAAGTGCAGTCTGATTGAACTGAATGTAAATTAGACAATAAATAAGACAATGAGACAATTAATTGACAAACCAAATCTTGATTCAAATTCAATATTTGAAGAAGCTACAGCTTCCGCCACCTGCTGCTTCTACTTTGTCTTCCAGGAAATGGAAACCCAGTATTTTGGGGTCCTTTTTTTCTGTCTCGTAAAATAATCAACACTTTATATGCATTGAATTCACAGGAAACGGTTGAGGATCCGTTGAGATTGGACCAGAATACCGGGTATATTTCCCCAAAGTGCACCTTTAATGTGCGATCGATCGGTGTTTCAACCTCACAGATCTTCCTCACATGTAGACACATCTCTGCAATGTTTGCAATGGTGACAGTTTGGACCCTGCGGGGACCAAAGCAACATGAAAACACCACCTCTTGGACGTCGGGGGGGGGGACTGGGAGTGCAGGTCGACCTGTAAAGTCAAACAGGAGGACGTGCCTTGCAACCTTCGAGCTGCTTGCAACCATCAGACTGGGGTTTTAGGAGAAATGAAGCCGCCCTCTGACTCAAGACGCCTGCATGATACATGTTTGGATGAAGGCAATTAGACAGGACAGCTTTAAAAGATAAGTCCCAAACAGCTGTAATGGGTGTATATATATATATATATATATATATATATATATACATGTAAATATGAGCCTGCAGCGGCTTGCCGCTCATACGAATCGCATGAATCGTCAGTTTTGAATTAAAACAATTATTGTCAACAGTTTATCTGCAGGGTGTGTTCTTCCTCAAGAAGAAAAAAAGACACACTGCAATGCAGGAAGAGGGGAAAAACAGCCCCGCCGTCTCTTTGCGTCTTATTTGAGGAAACTGATTGTCTGTGAGAGGACTTGCTGTCTGTGTGATCATTGTGGAGCTGTAGATGAGAAAGAGAACGCAGGTGTGCAGCGTGTGATGGGCGCTAGATTTGCTCGGTTTGAATCAAAGTGATTTCCATTTTTAAGCGGATTGAATATGTGAAATGGTTCCAAAAGGTTCGTGCAACAAAAAGAGTTGATATCATTTGAGAGACTTTCCTATTCTTCAGGAATTACTGATGGAGTTAATTAGTTTTTTTATGATGCTGTAGTGTAGAGATCAGTTCTTCATATATTTACTAACTAGATGGCAGAACAACACCGTTTCGTCATTTTTTAAACTTGTACAGGTGCTCTGTACGCTTCACCTCCAGAAATGAGAAAAGAAAAGTGATGCGATCTTTATCATCTACTACTGTAATCTGAAGGTAGCCATTATAAACGTTTCCCCTTTGCAGTGGCAAGTCTGTTTTAGTGAGTTTTGTATATTTATGTCAGTATCATTGGGGAAGTAATATTTAATTGTGTCATTGAGCTCAAAATAAATGAAATATAACACAAAATTACAGCTATTCTTAATTTTGTAGCATCACTTGTTTTCTTCATGCAAAAGCAAGTTGTTTTCTAAAATATAATTTGAACTTGAATTTGAATCAGATTCCTGACTATGTGAAACAGTCGCATCAATCACAAGGACCTTTGCATCAAAGTCTTTCCGTTCGTCCCGCTGAGATCCAGAAGAAACCTGAATGTCAACGGGACCAACGGGACGACAGGCCGGAGTAAATATAGGAAGCGTTGTGTCAGACTCGGCCCGGCCTGAAGCCGCGGGGAGGAGATGGCGATGAAGGGCCGCTGCGGGGTCAGAGGTCGCCTCGCAGACTCCTGACACCAACACGTCAAAGGTTAAAGATGACAGCTTGCAGCTTCAGCGTGACGGCAGTAATGTCTCACATTTACTGTTCTGCATTGGCTTTGCAGTTGACTGAGGAAAGATTCCGGGTCACCGCTTGGTGCGCGTTGAATGGAACGTTGTTGTCTGAAACTTTGAAATCCTCGAGGCTAATTTTGGCGATTAGTATCTTGATTAATTAAATAAATAACTTTATAACTCTCGAGGTAGCTGCATTTACCAACCGATAATCCTCAACGCTGGTTGCATTCATTACGCGTTGTGGGACGAGATACAAGATGCTAAATGTATAAAAGGCAGTTTTGGTTGCATATAAAAAAACTATGTTTGTTTGTTGCTTTGTTGTTGCAGATCTGATCGTCAAACTGGCGAAGGACAAATTTGGATTCGCTCAGACCGAATACCGAAAGGTACCTGTGTGTGTTAATAAGCTTCTCTGTTTTCATTTCATTTTACGTTATTGGAATATATTTTTTCTGATTGGAAGCAGCAAATGATGATGAACTTGTTACAGAAGAGATGTACGTACCTCTGAGAAGCTGCGTAGTCGCTCACCTTTCTCACTGGCACCAAAAAGGAAAAGGCTCATTGCTTCTGGCACCACCTGCGAATTTAAAGAGAGATTCATCACTTTAGTTTGCAGAAGAAACAACTTTGATAACCAAAGATGTTTTTCTTTTCATTTCTGGACCTCTCACTCCTCTGAGAATTTGCTGTCTGACAAAATGAAACCATGTGGATGTGCATGCACGAATCCTTTTGATTTCTCTCTCTTTTTTTTGTTTGTCGTTCTATTTCATCCACGTTTGTTGTTTTGTGGCTTTGCTCCTTCTTTGACGCTGCGTTGCCTTCGTCTTCTGCATGCCCTCTTCATCTGATCTGCTCTGATCTCATCCGGCCTCCCTCAGCCCGAGAACATAGTGCTGACCCTTCAGGTAAAGTCTGCACACTGGACTCCACAGTGCGACCCCCCTCCCCCGTCTATCCACCCCCCACGGACTGCACAACTACTGCCAAAACGTTGTTACATTTTAGTTGCCGCATTGCTGCAGCTGAACACATCTGGTTAGTTGTGCAGCCATTAGACTGCAACCAGCCATCCCATCCACCCTGCAAACACCAGCTTCCATCTACTAAAGTCTTGATTTAGATATTTGCATTTTGCAGCTTTATGTAGGAGCAACATGATTGAATGAACTCTGTTTTCCTGCTGGTGGTTCTTCAATGACTCCGACACACTTACAGGTCTATGACTAAAACTCAAAACTGACACCAAACGTTTTCTATCAGACGGCAAAAAAAGGAGAAACTTTTGTATCCATTGAATGCAACATACAATAACGGGGAAGTGTCCCGGTCGAATGAAAGCCTTTATGCCGTGGATTTAAGCAGTCCTGCTGCGATCAAAGGTGAAAGATATCATGATATCACGTTGTGGATTCAGAGGTATCTGATCCAATTCCCCATCAAGCACAACAATGAACCCAAACAGGAAGGACTAAAAACACAAAGAGCTGTGACGTCAATTCTTCTTTAACGCATTTATCTCACGCCAGGGAGAAGTTTAGGGTAACACCCTCTGGCTGCTTTGATTTAAAGGAAAAAATCCTAAAGATTTAAATGGATGTTTGTTAAGTCACTTTCTGTCACAGAAACACACTGATGTTGAGCCTAAAGCCCACTGAGCCCTACAACATGTATACACATATACACATACATGTGCAGCGAGAGTGTAATACAGTTTATCTCCTTTGTGCGCACACACAAAAAGTAACCAGATACACACAGAAATCTCCAGACTGCTAAACATTAAGCAGGCCTGAAATCTGATGCTCAGACATGATGCCATCTCATCGAGTGTGGTCTTATTGGAAAAGTCACCTTTTTATTTTGGGTCTCTGGAAAAAAAAAAGGTTTGGGGAAAAAACGTGATGCAAAACCCCCCTTAAAAATACTAAATAAAAAAATATTTGGTAGGAAAATGTCATGGGGTGTTAAGGGTTCGGAAGGCTCTCGAGGGAGGCCTCAATCCTTTGTTCTCGTCCCGGCCGGAAACGAGGACACGAATGAGTCAATTCGTTTAAATTCAAAAATCAAAAAGTATTTAATGACTAAACAACGTAATAGGGATTACAATTACAAAGTGAAATACTAAGCGAACAGTGGAATATTTCGCGAAATAGAGAATCCTCTGAGCAAGTCTGAAGTGACTTATCAACGCGGCTGCAGGAGAAGTTCTAACAGTCTTTTCCCCGCTTTGGTCCTTTGAAAACTCTTGAGGTGTGTCTTCTTTGGTGCATTTGAATGTCATTGGCCTCTTCTCCAAAGGGTCACCTCCTCCATTGTCCCTTCCACGTCGAGGTGTGAAGCTGCAGCTGTAACCTGAAACCTCTCTGTCCTATCTGTCCCTCACATTCCAATGCACTCAATGTAGATACAGTGGCTTTATGCCCCAATGAGTGAATTTAACAAAGCATACATCGTTTAAGTCTTCATCTTATAACTAGTACACTTTCATTACAACAACCCATCATTAATGATCACCGTTCATCACACTTCATCATAAGATCTAAAACAGTTCGTGTGGTTCAATTCTCAAGACATTTGCCTCAGTCGGCTGCCTCGCAATAAGTTGTTCATTTATTACCTGACAGGAGAAAAAACTCCCAGAAAACCCTCTTTGGGGAAAAAATTGGAAGAAATCCATAAAGAACGGCAATTGGCATCCGTCCCCAGGTTTTAACATCACATTGTAACAGAATGTAATGTGTAGTGTGTTTCTACGATTTAAAAGACTATAAACTGTGTTTGATTCACATTGTATTCACTTCATCTAACATGTTAATGTAATAACTAATCTAACATCACACAAACTACAATTCGATCACTAAACATCATTACACGTACTACAAATTCTATGACTAGACATTCACTTCTACTTAAAACCCCAACAGGGGGAAAAAGCCAACACACAAAAACACACACAAAATATTAGAGCAAAAAATGTCATGAGAAAGGGTCCGATTGGGATATTTTTCTTAAAAATGATGTTTTGAACCTACTTACTAGCAAAACGCACACTTTCTCGTGTTGGATCGTTCCCACCCGATTTGCACAGAGATTTCGACCAGTTCAGAAGCCGTTTCTTTTCACGCCGCATGTCAGAAAGCTGAAGAAAACCGGCTCGTTGACTTATGGAGGCAGGATTAAGATTAGTGTGAATCAGCCGGGGGAGCAGTTCGTCCATTCAGGAGCCCACGAGAAGCTGCTGAGCATCGTTGTGACAAGTTACCTGCGCTGTGGGAATCTGCCGATCCCCATATTCAATTCTGCCCATTTCCAAAGCCTGTGCTGAGTGTGTGTGTGTGTGTGTGTGTGTGGTTCGGACGGGGGCAGATTAGGAGGGAGCGCTGTGGCACATGACGCCAGTAGATGGAAGCTCCACTGAGAACCTGCCAAACACAAACTCTCTCACTATTTCAGGGTAAATGTGAAAGAAACTGCGTTGAGTCACCTCAAATATTTCTGATATTCGATCAAAAGTGAGGATCATTGTGAGTAAATGACGCAGCGTTCCTATGCTCTCTCCTGATTGGACCATAATGACCTCGTAACCCTCCCACAAACTGTCTTATAGACGGCCCGAGTTCTTCAGGACCAAAATAATCGAAGCAGCTTTTTCATCAGAAATGACTCTTCTCTGACATTACACCAGGAAATGTGTAGCTCCGCCCCCTTTTCCCATCATCCTTCACGTCCTCTTAGTGCATGTTGTGGTTTATTGGAAATTCATTAAAAAAAAGAAGTTATTTCAAGGAAGTATTTTAGGAATAACAAAGACAGGATTCTCGGGCATTGAGCTGATTTGCAGATCTGTAGCTCACGTTATCCTCCTTGTGTATCTCCACCCCGTTTTCTCCTTCATGCTTTTATTTTCTCTGATGTTGTTTCCTAAATAAATTGTCCCTGGTCCCCCCCCCCCCCCCCTCCGCCCGCGCTGCCCTCAGGTCATCTACTACGAGATCGGCTTCGCGGTGTGTGCCGCGGTCGGCCTGGTGTTCGCCGTGCTGGTGCCGCTGATCGGCCTCTTCTTCTGCTTGTGCCGCTGCTGCGACAACTGCGGCGGCGAGATGCACCAGCGGCAGAGGAAGAACGCGGACTGCCGCCGCGGCCTGCTGGGAACGCTGCTCTTCGCCAACTCGCTGGTCATCACGTGAGTGTGACGCATGCAGACACACACCGACGCACCCAGAAGAAGAAGAAGAGAAGGGGGGAGGGGGGGGTCAGCTTGCACGCCGGCGTGTATTTTGTGGTGCAAACCGCGTGTGTCGCACACCGTGCAAAAAGGGGGAACTTAACGGGAGCTGCACTATGAGCACGCACACACACACACAGCGCCACACACACACACACCTCTGGTCATCTAGTGAGTCCGTTGTGAGGCCATCCAGCCCCCGACCGCCCCTCCCCCTCCCCGTCCTCTTTTTGCTATAAATAGTCATCATTTCCTACCGTAGATCGCATGTGGCAGCTGCCTTCATACTTGCTCAGTCCAGGCGCTGGTCATGAGAATCTGCAGGGGATTCGCACAGAGCTTTCATCAACTGTGGTGGGAAGTCGCACGTATAATGTGAGAACAAATCACAGAAAAACAATCGACTCAATAGCCCAATTATTCGATGTGACTACGGCGCGTGCGTGATGTGTTTTTTTGCGGCGTCTCCACCTCGCCGCTCTCCACGGCCTTAATTCAGGGTCTACGACATTACTGCTCCCCACAGTTGGGGAGGATTGATTGATGGTTTGATCCGCTGGGAAATCCCACAGACACAGATGGATTCAAGCTGTAGGAACGGTAAATAATAACCGATTTAATCGACAGGACCGCCCGCTATTTTCAGCCCAGTGTGGTTCTTCTTTACAGAAAAAGAGATAACAAGCATCAGTATTCACATTTCATACACAAAAACAGGCCAGCGGGAGAATTGTGACTTTTTAAACCCTTAAAAATGCAGCGCCAACAACAAATATCGGACGAAAATGATTTTATCCGTTGATCAAACATTAGGAAGCCATTGATGTCTAAATGTCCATTATGAACCCGAGGTATTCTTTTTAAGTCGCTTCGTGGATGAGTTGCAGGTGACGAGCGGGAATGACGAAGGAGGGAACACATTTGGGGGTAAAGCCTATTACATCCCCCGTCTGTCCCCCGCGTCTCCTCCTTCTCTAAACGGACCACGGGAAGCTCAAACTCCAGCGCCGCCCCCCCAAACCCCCCCCGCCACCGAGGGCTCGGCAGCGCTACGTTTGCCTCTGGGCCTCCGGGAGCGTACTCAGTTTGACGCTCTTTGACTCCTCGTCCTCGTTGGACGCGAGCCCGGCCCGGACGAGTCTTTAGAGCGTCCTCGCGGCTCTTATTAAATCTCCCCGGCGACCAGGCGGAGACGCTGCAGGAGGCTCCAATGAAGCGATCGCAGGCCGGAGAGCGATGAGTCCCGAGGCCGGGCTGCTTTCGGTCTGCTACCGGCGGCGAGGCGGAGAAGCGGCGGGGACGGGCCGGGGGGGTATTTTCCCGACAGCTCGGTGCTTTTTCTTTCACTGGTTGTTTGGATCCCAGAGTGGAGGCGAGTCTATGAAGGATCATTGAGTAACAATCATTCCATCGGGACATTACAATGCTTCAACTTGTTTCTTCTTCCCAATAAATCTATTTCCCCAAGGTCAATACATGACCAGCCCGGACTATTATATCAGTGACATGATATGACCCTTACAGTTACAATACAGTATATATTATCTGTAAATGTTTCATAAAAGTATCAGTAGACAACCCTGAAATATTCTTGAAATATTAATATTGAGATACTTGAAAATATGGTGATTTTTCATTTGTCTTCCAGCCGATAAACAGTTGGCTGGTAATTATTCTAAAGATAGAGATGAATCACACATTTGCAGTATAGGATTACCTTGATAATCCATGAGGACATTATTTAATTTTGGGTGTCAACGGGACACTTACTGCTGGATCACCGCAGAGACATCTAAACATTTCCACTTAAAGTGTGTGCGTAGAATCAATGGCTTTAATGTCATGAGATTTGACAGAATCAGAGCGGGAGGTGGGAGGAAAAAAACTAACTCCCACATCTCCCTTTGCTCTGAAAGTGGCCCGGGTGAAATCCCAATGTTCGCTGAGTCGGAGCGGCGCTGTAAGGACTTGATTCACGCCGATGCCGCTCGTGCTGAAAACGCACACACTGCAGCTCAGATGCTCCGGCTGGAACAGACGGCCTCGTTTGTCAGACTGCGTGAGGAAAAAACTACCGAGACGCTCGGGCAGATGTGAAGTTCAGGACGGGAGTTAATTCCTGCTGGAGGCAGAAGCTCAGCTTTTGTCAGGACGGATCCTGTTTAGTAGATTTTAATCAGCGCGTTTGCCGAAACATTAATAATTGAATCAGAAACCGTGGGTGAAATCAGGTGGATGGATCTTGAGATCTAAATAAATAAACTGATTAACTGGCCGAATCCTCAATTTACCGCGGCGATCTAATTGTATTAGACTGATTTCTTTCATGGGTATTAATCAGACCAGAGAGGCTGATTTGATGCACAGCAGGAAACACGTTAGCATCACAGATCACGTCCCGCTCTGCATTCGGAGGGAAGTTTAGGCCGAGATGACCTGGAATTGTTAGTGATGATGCAGCAGCAATGAATTAAAGTCTGCTTACGTTACGTTCGGCCTGATGAAACATCACAGAACGTTAATCAACCAATTCAGTCTTTGTCTGGGTTCATTTTTTATTTGGTGAATATATTAATGAAGATCAATATGAATACTTTTCGACTAATATTCTTTACATCGATGTTCACACTGAGCGGAGAGCGACACCCAAGCTCAAGACCTCATGTGCGTGTCCATGGCCGCGGTGCGCTCCATCAGATGGGGGAGGTTCTCCTCCTCTCGCATCGTTCACTCGCACTCTCTCTCTCCAGAGCCGCTCCCCTCGACCCGAAGGCCGGACGCGGCGCTTCACCGGCTCCCTCGGCAATATTCCCCCATAGATCTCTGTTCTCTCTCTCTCTCTCTCTCCTCATCTGGTCTGCAGCGGCAGAGGGCGAGCTGTGCCCAGCATGCCGTTCGGCGCTACCTCGGGGTGGTGGGGGGGGAAGGGGCTGTTTTACAATAACCACAGATTTGGAATAAACGCCGACGCATCGGACCTATAGGACTTCTCCTGGAAGGACCGGGTCACAGCGACGCCAGATGATCTCTTGTGTGTTAATGCTGGTTTAGATGAACAAACATCCATCCCGCCAGCCCGTGTGTCTGTGTGTGTGTGTGTGTGTGAGTGTGTGTGTGTGTGTTGCTGGCGTATGACGTCTCATCTCGTGCATAAATGCATGAAGTTGCATCAGGCCTGTCGGCGATCTGAAGACCTCATTATTGAATCAACAAGCCCCCGAATCCACGTGCACGGATTCATCCAAAATGACAAATTGAAGCCCTTTCCCTCTGTTCCGGCCAAGTGGAAGACCCCTGCCACGCGTGGTTACCCAGCATGCATTGCAGCAGTCTATTTTAGTCGCCCCGGTGTCTAAAACCATTAAACACAAAAGGGTCTCGACATTGTGGGCTTAGTAATTCACGCTATTCAAACGGGTTTTCTAATTAACGATGATGTATGTGGATGTGAACTTAGCATTCAGCAGCCTGCACTTCAAACCCTAATCAGTCAGTCGAGGCTCTAAAGGCCGGAATCAAACCGGCGTGCCGGAGAGAGCGAATGTGTGTCGAGCGGCTGGGCTGCGGCGGTGGGAACCACGGCGCGGCCCACAGGTTGAAACAGATTCCGCTTCTGGAGACGACCTTTCCGCAGAGACAAGCGCCATTTAAATGACACTGGCACGCCGGGGGCACAACCCTCACTGCCTTCAGATGAACACCAGGCTGGAGATCCTTCTTTACAGCGACTCTGTAGTCCCGGTGACTTTAATCACAGGACCTCGTGCCGTGTTTGAAGGTCATGTCGGTAAAACGTGATCAGCTGTTCACTGCGCGGTTGTTGGTAATCCTCCTGCCACTCTTATAGAGGCAGCAGGAGGTGAATAGTCATGGAAACACATGACCTCAAGAGCAAAAGCAGAGAGGGAAGTAGGACAAAAAAACGAGCATAGTTCACCTTTGCCGTGACCTTTCACCTTCACCCACCTCTTAAGTGTCAGTCGCTGTTTGAGACTAAAGCTTAAGCACCTTCTTAAAACAGCTCACAGTAGTTCTCCTCTTGCCGATGAGACGGGAGAATTCCGGCTGAATTATTAATAAAGTGACCCAATTAACGAGTGGGATCGTTTCTTCACTTGAAGCAGCCGGAGCCTACAGACAAACACGTTACGCAATAAGCCTCCGCACGCGAGCACGCATGGTCAGCGTCATGGGGGGCAGGTCGCGCGCGTTCTACTTCAGATGGACACGAAACGACCATGAACACCTGACATTTGACACGGTAAGTAACGGTGAACGCCGCGTCACCGGTCACACAATCCCAAATCAGGCGCACAAACACACTCAGCCGGCAGTCGCCACATGCCGGCCTATTTTTGGTGGATTCACTGACAAGTGGGACCGAAGTTGCTACTCCGTCGTGAAGGAAGCCAGCGGTGACTTCGGGCATGCCACTCGCCGGCTAAATGTCACGCTACTCCGTCACGTGCCGCTCGTCTCCGGCAGCAGTTAAAGCCCCTGAAGGAAAAAAAAAAGGATAAATGTAACATTACTCAGCAAAATCGGCCGGGATTCAGCAGATGCCCTTTAAATGTTTACGTGTGCAGCGACTAATTGATATGCTGAGTGTGTTACGGTTCGAGTCCTTTTCAAAAACGCTTGTGGTTGATTGCTGTCTTGGAGACGTCACTGAATTCACGAGTTGAGTTGAGTTTTCTTTAAGGAACGAACGGATGCTCCTGGTCTTTCCAATTTATTGAAGACGTTTGTGTGACGAGACGTCACAATGTTGCACAGAGGAGAGAGAATGTTTTCAGCTTAAAAGGGGCTTTTTTATGAGTTTTGGGGTAGAAAACAGCAGCGTCTTTAATGAGCCACCGGGTTTCTTTGCTTAAGCGCGACTCACCGGCTCGTGCGTCTGCGCCCTGTGAACTGTGAACTGTGAGGTGGACGTGGTCATGGTCACATCGCTGTGAACTCCCCCAAAGTCCTTAGCTCGTGCTTTTCAGTCAGTCCACCATCGTAACGTATTTCAGGGACTTCGGGAAGCCTCCTGTGGCCCTCCAGGCTCACAGTTTAGTATTCACATCATTCCTGGACAGTTTACGCTGGATTTAACCGTCTGTTGTCTCCCATCAAACCACTGCAGCTTCTTTTTTCTTTTTTAGACGTAAGATACAGCAGCTTTCACGTCGCCCTTGTGAAGCAAAAAGCAAGAGAGAGAGAGAGAGAGAGAAGAAATACCAGACTGTTTATAACCGGGTTGTTTTGCCGGGAGCGGAAGGCTCCCGAGTCAGAACCGCTCAGCGTCTCAGTGGTCTAATGAAACACAAAGTACTGCACAAAGGGAATAGTGGCTTGTTTGCCTGAGATGGTTCCTATTACCTTATGATAAGCAGCCGTGTGTCCCACACACATAGAGAAGTGTTCTGACCGAGTGACGGGAGGACGGAGCGATGCTTGGTGTTGAAGCAGGGCGGAGCTGGACTCTCCGATCCTCGCCTCCACCACCACCACCTCCACCCCGCTGAATGCGGACCATTGTTTTACGGGTTTGTAAAAGCTGTGGAGCCACCAGACCATGTAACACTCACTACCCCCCCCCCCAGTAGTGGCCTAGATAGCGGGGGCACCGCCTGCACTGGTCGGATGCTCTTCTTCGTGTGCCGTTGTGGGGCTTTTGTGTGTCTCTTGGCTTTCGCTCAAACAGGAATCAGTAAATCTTCCTCTCGCTGTGTTGAGATTGAGAATTCTTCAGTTGCCTGGTGAAGTGCATCTATTTGCTGGACCAGTAATCAGTTCATACACCATTACATTCTGGAAGAAACTCCTCATTTTGTCCGGGGAAAAGTTCCTTTTCATTCATTCTAAGCCTGAACTTTCAAACATCGATCTTGTTCAACTGTCGTGCACACATTGTGTATCATTGTGTATCATCGCCTCGTATACATGAGATATTCTGCTGAAATAGTTCACCATCAAATCTGATACAAAAGACATTTGAATTTAAGGGGAAATAAAGGTGCTTTTAATCAGTTAATCAAAAGTTCTCTCACATAAATTCAACCAACAGCAGCACAGGTCTGTTGTTTGTTTGTTTGTTTGTTTGTTTGTTCACTTCGGGTCCGTCTTTTCCTTTCATCATCCCACCTCGTCTCAAACGGCGAGCAGGCCGACAGAACTCAGCGCTGACTGGCGGTTGTGTCCAGCGCGGCTCATCGGAGAGCTTCTCTCAAAGAGTCTTTGTTTGGCTGCGGATTCCAGCGACCTTGCTGGAGAGGCGGAGGAGGGGGGGGACAAAGAAAAGGGGGGAGAGGGAGGTGGACACGAGGAGAGAAAAGAGGGAGCCGAGGGAAAGAATGAAAATAAAGCATCAGAGGTGGAATAGTCGAGAGAGGGAGACCAAGAAAAAGTGTGAGAAGTGAGAAGAGTGAAAGAGACGAGGATGAAAACAGACGAGACAAAACGGGGGGAGACACGTTAGCAAGAGGAACAAATAAAGACCCAGACGACCAAGAGAGAGAAAGTCAAGTGTACACTAGTGTGTTATTGTGTGCGAGAGAGAGAGAGAACGGAGACGAGCGTGCGACAAGAGGCTTTTGTTTGTGGAAGTGGCCATTTTGAATCTTCCCCTGGTTCCGGGCGTCCCGGCCGAAGCTGTTTGGCCTCGTTTCCCGGTGAAGTCTCCCTCTCGCACGGCGACGGCACTCGGCTGTTTTACGGCAAACGTCATCAGGACTCCTCCTCCAGGCGCGGCGCCGCTCGAGGCCACGCGGATGAAAAAGAGGCGGCCGTTTATCGGCAGAGACAGTTTATTGCCGTTGCCATTTCCCTCATTGGACAGCGTGGTTGAATGCTCGATTGTGATTGGTTCCCTCGACTACTTTAGGCTTTTTGAAGCTGGCCTTCGGCCGTAAACGAAACCTCCCTCTCTCTAGAAAAAGAGCGGTGACATCTTTCACATGGAAGCGTTCGCCGTGACGTTGGAGGCCCTTCTTGCCCTGTCAGGGTTCCTTTCACTTCACTGACATGCTCACTGTACATTATCCTTCAGTCTCTCAAACATCACCATGGGTTTGAAGCCAAAAGCGCGCTGAAAAAACGCTCCAGCAAGCGAGGATTAGCAACACTTTCCGACTATTAATATCTGTAAGAAACGCTGGGCTTGGTGGAAGAACCCCACCAGCAGCTTAGGTTTTAAGAGGCTTGTGCGGGTGATTTAGGCGAACTACCGTTGAAATAAAGTAAGGGAAGGTTATGAAAATGTACCAGAATTTTGAATGCATGAGGTCCACCTGCTATTATCTGGTTCCACCTCATCCGGTGTAATAATATTTTGCACATTCAGTGAATGAAGACACTGTTCAATCCGCCAATGTGACACATTGTCTGCAGCACAATGCAGGTTAGATTAACCGGATTATATAGAGTTCTGCAGCAGCGTGAAGAAGAACTAAACGCACACACACACACATGCACGCACACACCACCTTCTTCACACTGTCAGACTCAACGGGGCCATAACCCCACTTTGCATGCTCCGTCAGAACATACGCACCGTGCAAACCCTCCCCGACGCACACACAAGCGGGCCCGCATGCACAGACCTCTGCCTCGTTACGCAGTGAGGTTCATCTCCATTGATCTGAGCCTCCCCTGTAGCCTCTGAGTCGGTGCTTTTGTTATTCCCTCCTGCGAGTCATCTTGCATCATTCATAAAGCCGCTTATACCGCCAGAGCGTTGCTTTTAAATGAGATTTTCCGTCTTACACAACCGTGCCGCACGAATCCACGGAACAGTGGAGTTTATCAGAGCGTCTGTTCTGAAGAGAATCACCCGGTGAAGCCCCGGCCGTGCGCGTCCACACACCAGGGGAGGGAAACTCGGGGTGAGAGTGAGTCATGGAGAGGGTTTAATGCAACGGGCCGGTGATGTAGCTCGAGCTGATTAAGCCGAGCTCCTCGGGTCTGTTTGAAGTGTGCGAGAGGCGAGGTGCTTTCTGCATTCAATATGAATGTGCTCACAAGCCAGGCGCCTCAGATTAAACCCATCGTAGCAGAATACACCTGCATTTCCTGCTGTGACCTGCTGTGGTTTGCATCTGTCAGGATGAATACGTCTAAATATCACACACAACTGTGACGAGAAGAAGACGTAGAGCTGCCTGTCAAATACATTGCACTCATTCCACAGGTGCACTCGCTCTCAGGTAGAAACGCGGTGGTGCACGCTGCCCCCTGCTGTCGGCGTCGTGTCATCACCGCCGCCCCGAGTGCCCGGCGGCACACGCGCGGGGGCGTGGGGACGCAGAGGTCGCGTTAAGGTCGCGGTGTGACTCTGTGCTCGTCCTGCGTTTAGGATCGGAGTGCTGTGCGCGTACGCCGCCAACCAGAACCTGAGCTCTCAGGTGAAGAACATCCGGAGGCTGGTGAACAGCAACATGAGGGACCTGCACACCTTCGCCAACGACACGCCCATGGTGAGAGAGACACGGAGAGGGCCTGTTTTTCGATGCATGCATCTTTTATGTCATCTTTTCAATGTGGGGAAAGGTAATGAGTGCACACGACACCTTGGAACGAAAAGAACTCAGCTCCTTAGTGTCGGTGTGTAGGCGTTAGAGAGCTCGGGGTGGGAAACAAAGTTTGTGAGAGTTTTTGTGTTGTTTGTGAAGGCCGATTTGATGATATCGTTTTTTTTCCATCACATGGAGAAATAACAAAAACTATGCTGTACTTCGACGGGACTAATATCCAGACTTCCATCTGCTTCTCTCTGCTCTGTTTCCTGTTTGCAGCAAATTGATTACCTAATATCCCAATACGCCACGGCCAAGAACAAAGTCATCTACGACCTGGACAGTAAGTGCACCTCCTCCGCGCCTCTAACAGAAGCCGCTCGCTGGCTCCTGCTCTCGGTCATGTAGCATATGCTCATTATGCAAAGACTTGTTCTCACATCCCCTCTGGGACACAACCGGGCGTAGGTAGCTGCAGCCGAGGATCCCCGGCGTATTCATCCTACTTTTGAGATAGCGCCGCAGGCGGCTCTCTCCTGAAAGTCTGGCATCAACAAAAGCAGCCGACGTAATAAAGAAGGGGACCGGTTTCTCCTCTTCAGTCCATCTGATTCTGGGTTCTCCACAGATATCGGCCCGCTGTTGGGTGGAAGGATACACGATCAGTTGGATAAGGAGGTGCATCCGGCCTTGGACAAAGTGCTCAATATGGCTGGAGGTATGGACGCCTTTTACTCTTTTTCATTTCCTCTTCAGCCACGATATGATCAGCTTACAGCTGCAGTACTGTTATTTATAGAACACTGGGTTAGTTTTTAAATCTCCAAAGATAATCACACTGTGAATTCCATGATCAGCCCCCATCTTACAGGTGTGTGGTAAATTACTTTTGTAATATCATTTGGATATTACTTTATTGAAGGTCAGCGAGGTAATAAAAGCAGTGACATGTAACCATCATTCAGTATATTTTTTAACCTTTTATGTTCTATGCCTTTTTTTTTTTTTTTTCAATGAAGTGAAAATCGAGAGATCCATCAAAGGTAACAGAGACTCAGCAACCGGACAATGTCCCTCAATCCTTTGACCCTTGACCCGTGACTTGTTTCCCTCATGACCCCCCCTCCGCCCCGACCACTCGGCCCTGTTTGAGGACGACCCCTTCATGTATTAAAACTGCACTACGGCAAAAAGCAGCCAAAAGCAGCCGAAAGGAGCCGGTCCTCCCGCGTTGACTCTGAGGAAAGGCGATTTCTCACAGTTCTTTTTAATGCACCACCTGCAGAACGAATGAATATTTCTAAAAGGTAATCTCGCCTAGTGCAATTTTAAACTTAACCAGATGTTGCCAAACCCCCAACGTAACATCGACGTGTGGCTCAACACCTCCGTGCTTCCCCACTGTGAAGTGAGCATAAACGTGTGTGTGTTTGCGTGTTTCACGTTAAGTGATTGTGCCACAAACTGCAGCCAATCCTCCATGTCAGTTAAGCAACAATTTGAATTACGCCTTTTTAAGCTGTGTACGGATGTAACGCTACATGGACTACACAGGCGCCATGCTGGAGCCCAGATGAGTGTGAACACAGTGCGTGTTCTTGGTGTTTGTGCTCCCTCCCTCCCGGTGCTGAGCCGAGATGAGTTCATCTCTCCTCTCCTGCTCTCTCTCGTCTTTTTAATTGGAGACTCCGTTTCCTGTTTAACTCCGAAAGGCCGCTCCAGGCAGCGACCGTTCCTGAATAGAGACGTTTAAAGTCAGCAGCTCGGCTCTGGCCTGGTCTTTACAAAGAGTCTGTGTGCCTTTGTGCAACGTGAGCCGCTATCAGAGAGTGTTGATCTTAAAAAAGCGAAAAGTTTTGTTTTTTTAACCTGGTAAAAAAGAAAGTATTTGAAAGGCAGCATTTTGGCCCCCAAAAGCATTTCACTTCTCTGAGTATGAGTGTGTATATATATTTATGTTCCTGTTCCCAGGACAGAACTCCATCCATCCATCCGAGAGAATTAAAACATTTAAATAACATTATTCATTATTCATTTTGCAGCAAAGCTCTGCAGCCTGAGGCCCAAGGGGGGAATTACAACTCATTCAATATACACGTTTAACTCAAAATATAGGTTAGCAATGAGAAAAGCTGTTGTATTATTCAGTTCAATGAAGTAAGTAAGATATTCCTGCTGTCTCAAAACCCGCTCGACCTAATCGAAATGTTGGAGTTCACAAAGCAAACGACGGAAACAATCTCCCTGCATCGTTCTGCTTTCCACGCTGTGAGAAGGGGACTTGTGTTACCAGAGCGTCGACGGTGTTCATGCTGATCTTTGCCACAACGCACTTTGCAATCCTGCGCTCTCCTTCCCTGCAGCCATGCGGCAGACCAAGGAGGCCCTGGACAACGTGAACGTGGGTCTGGACGTCCTGCAGGAGGGAACCGGGAGGCTCAACTTCAACCTGAGCCTGGTGCGGACCGGCATCAACCGCACCCTCGACGACCCGGGCTGCCACGACGAGGAGTCCGACGCCACCTCCGCCCAGCTGTGCCGCAACATCCGCCGCTCGCTGTCCCAGCTGCAGATCGCCGCCAATTTCTCCAGGGTACAAAGCCCAGCGCCGATTGGACTCCAACTGATGGCCTAGTGACGGTTACTGGAACGCAGTTGGTGTCGTGGCACTGCTGGATGTTTATCACTGTCTGTGTGTGTGTGTGTGTGTGTAAAGCCCACTTTTTATTGTCTGTCAACACACTTTAGCTGCCGAAGGTGAACGCTCAGCTGGAAAAGATGAACAACGTCTTGAGAACGGACCTCAGCGCCGTCGTCCAGAGGGTGAGCAGTTTTTTCGGTGTGCGACGTGTCCCCCGTTCCCGCTTTTTAGAGCCTCGTCGACTTCTGCTTCAGTTGAACTGCCGTTCAACGAAAGAATCAATCAAAGGACCAAAAAGTCCCACGTCTTCTTCCTCTCGCAGGGCTACGACTCTTTAAACAACACGCCGCTCATGGCGGTGGAACAGACCCGAAGCGCCGTGGAGAGTACGTCGCTTTCATCACCCTGCCGCGTGAGTTCCAGAGCGACGAAGAGGGTTTTTAGGGCTGAACCTGAGTTGATGTGCCCGTCAGGTGTGAGGGGTCTGGTGGACGGCATCGGCAGTAACATCAGCAGCTTCTCCAAGGTTTTCCCCGTGCAGACCTCCGTGTCCAACTTCAACATCTTCATTAGCCACGCCCACGCCAAGATTGAGGACCACTACCCTGATATTGACAAGATGGACTTCTACAGGTACGTTTAAAACAAAAAAAAAAAAGTGTAAGGGCGGGATCCGGATTCACGGTAAATAGTGGAATAAATCCACCGTCTGGATGCTACCTGACTCCTGAGCTCTGCCCGCTGCGCCACAGGTGGATCGGCTGCATCGCTCTCTGCTGCATGGTGGTCCTCGTCCTGGCCTTCAACTACCTGGGCCTGCTGTGCGGCACGCTGGGATACGACAAGCACGCCTCGCCTACCACGCGAGGCTGCATCTCCAACACGGGCGGCACCATGCTCATGGCGTGAGTCCGCTGTCCACGTGACAGGCTTCCAACTGAAGGGGCTTTGAGATCCATTTGGTGATGATATTTTAGTAACTACTGACTAACGGCGAAAACTCCTGCAGCTTCACTACTAGAGGAACATTAAAGAGCTGAACAGATTTCTTCTTTTAGTGGAGCACAACATTTTAATCAGTTATTTATTCACGCAGTATATTTTTCCCTCAGATAGAAATAATTGCATCCTGTTTGTGATTTTAGGGGCCTCGTGCATTTCATTTGAGCTGCAGCTTCACCTCCATTTCTTATTGTTGTAACCGTCCTCTGCACCTCTTCTCCACAGCGGCGTTGGATTCACCGTCATCTTCTCGTGGGTGCTGATGGGAGTGGTGACCGCCATCTTCCTGGCCGGAGGAAACGTGGAGAAGCTTTTCTGCGAACCCTTCCACACCAAAGACGTCTTTAAGGCGAGTCCATTCGACCACGTGGTCCCACGTGAGAATGGGGAGAGAGTCACACAGTTTCTTTCCCTCTTTTCTCCCATCCATGCAGGTTGTGGACACCCCGTATCTGGTGGACCCGAACCTGAAGAACTTCATCCCGGGCTTATTCTACAACGACTCCCAGCTGGAGCTGACGGCAGAGAGCTTGTACAGGCAAAGAAAACTCCTCTTTATGTATTTACAAGTACTGCACGTTTGTTGGCTCTATATTTCACCGAGCGGATTTTGCATCAGGACACGACATTCATCCAGGAACAGGCGGTGGGATTTGAATAATTTTAGCTTTGTCGCAGGCGTCGGGTCAGCCGTCGAGCGGCTGAATGTTTCATTTCCATTGGTGGGGATGCAAATGAGGGAGAGGGTTTCTATTGACCTTGAGGAGCTAATTAGCATTATTTTCCTGCCGTTTCTTCTTCAGCCTGTTTCTCGGCGGTTACATCAGCTTTCATCATCTCCCTTTAGTGAGAAGCTGCAAATCCTCAGATACAAGGGCGGCACTCGTGCATTCATTATATTTCCAAATAGAGCAGCTTTGCTTCAACGCGTCTTTGCCCATTGAAAGGCAAGCAGCGCGAAGGCTGTGTGCACTGTGTGAGTCTATATATTATGAAGCTGACAAATTAGCTAAATTCTCAGGCCCTGTGAGCAACATCAATGTTCTCCGTCCAGGAACATTTTGTACTTCCACTCAATTTCCCTGGATGGCAGCAAATATTTTCACTCCGCAACTTTTAAGTTGACTTTTTCTGCTCGCGCCTCTCTGTGTTTGTGTCCGTTTGTGTGTCTTTCTCAGCACTTGCAAGGAGAACAAAGGCATCTACACAGCCATGCGTCTGGACAAAGTCTTCAACATCTCCCTGTTCCTGAACACCACATTGGTCAGTAAGCTCAAGACTCGTCGTGGCATCATTTGACTGAAAAGCTTGAGGCTACAAACAGTTTCCTTAGTTCCGATGTCCAAATGTACAGACGAGATAATGTGTGTAAAGGAAGCTCTCAGTTGAGGCGCTCGGGCCGTTTCCTGCGAGTGTGTGCTAATTGTATACTGTGAAGCGCTGTTAGCGACAGTTAACTCAGAATGAATAAATGCAATGTGCTAAAGGCTCAAACCGCCGGTAGAATAAATGCAGTACGCCTCTTGGATGTGCCGCTCTGTGAGCATCTGGAGGTTTCCAAATCGTCTAATTAGCGTTAGCTAATGATTTCTTTCCTGCCCAAACAAAGTCTGCGTTGGCAGCCGATGCCTTCATCAAGCCTCGGCCTTCACTCCGTGCATGAGTCATTACGCTGATGTGAACTTGCGACTTCGTCTTGGCGACTCTCTTGCCAATTTGGCTCCGCGGTCTCGGCTCCTTTGAGCCAACAGCCGATACGTCCACTGCTGCGTCTCTTTTCTGTCCACTGGTTTATTTGTCTTCATTGAGAGCCGGCACACGTCTACTCCACATCATAAGCCTCCGTCTGCTGTTTAGTCTAACATCTCCATCTCGCTGTGACTATATAGGTGTTATTATTTTTTTTATTTTTTTTATTTGTCCAATAAAGTTCCACAACGACGCAATACAGAGATCATAATAAAACCCATTGAGACGGGATATAAGTGAAAGAAATAACTGAAGGGTGGTGTGCAGAAAGGCAACAAAACGGACGGCTTACAGCAGGAACAAGGAGAAACCTTCCACGCACACGACATTAAGAAACGCCGTCCGCATCAAACCTCCTGCTGTTCCTCTTCGTGCTTTGCAGTTCACGAAGGACGTGGTGAGTCAGCTGGACGGCGTCAGGATCGACCTGAGGGGAACAATCCTGCTGGAGGCCGAGGGGGAGCAGAACCTTCTGGACTTCTCTGAAGCCGGGCTCTCAGAAATCAACTACGCAGACTACCTGGAGGAGGTGACGCACATCACGCTACACAACCGGTGCCTGCTGGTGTGGATGTGGGACGTTTACAGGACGGTTTTATTGGACTAGTACTCTTAAATCTGTCATTGTTATATTTATATTTAGTCATATGTTTTTATTGGTACTGATTTAATCAGCAAAGATAAATATCTACAAAGCTTCCCCGTTTACTTCATCCGTGTGTTTAACACTAACTCGGCTGGCCAGCAGTCGCGACGCAGTAGCCGTCGTTCTGTTGAGCATCACTGAACCCGACAGAGTCGGGATTATATTGTTTGTATTTAGATAATAACTACTCTTCATTCAAAGTTGTTAAAGTGTTGTTTAAGAGATGTTGGAGGGAAACGTGTCTCTGTCCTGAATGAAAGATGCAGCTAGAAGTTACAGATGATAGTCAGTGAAAACACGACGCTTTTCCCCTCGAAACTGCTGAGAGAAGAAGGTTTTCACCGCCAAACGCGTCTCACCTTCAGGTCAACAAAGGAGTCACTGTGATGGACCTGCTCCTGTTTGCCACAGAGCTGGAGGCCCAGACGGACCTCATGGTGAGACTAGAAACTAGAATATGATATTGCAGAATACGTTCCCTCGCATGACTCGAACTTGCTATTTGGACTGAACGTGCCCGTGTGCGTCCCAGCCCCGCGGCGCCCTGCAGAGCGCCCTGAAAGGCCACGTCGGCACTCTGCGGCAGATCCACAGCCAGCAGATCGTCTCCATGGAGCAGGGCATGGTAAGACCCCACCATTACCAGCCACGTGCGTGCTTTGAGGTTGATGCCTATTTAGCAGAAGAATATTATCCTCCTGGACACGGAAAACACGTGTCGGTGTTTAATTTAACATCAAACGCTGCGTGTTTTTGAGCCTGGCGGATGCGGCATACAGAACGTCGTGGGTGCAAATGTCCACATGCATTCCCTCCCTGTCAAAGCTAATTCATTCTTTTGAAGGGCTTTTTATGTTTTTTCTTTTCTTTTCACTTTCAACTTGAAGAAACATGTTAGAGCGAGGGTAAGCTGAAATGTGTCATTTCTGTGTATTCAGTGTCCCGTTACATGTTACAGCTTGGATATTGTGTGTGTGTTCTTGTACTTACATTTAGATAAAAGTCTCTTACTGACTGGTGTATCTTAAAATATCCACTACGGAAATACAGTTCATTCATTCATTTTGTGAGGACTCTTTTCATGTCATCGTTCTTTGTGGATATTTAGTTTTGGTGACAAACCTCCTCAGCACGCCCGTCCGCTCTCCTGCCTGCTCTCCCTTTGTGCTTCTCTGGTGTGTAATGACCCCTGACTGCACCCGCTGACCCTTTCTGGGATCCCTGCAGTGAATCTCTCCTGTGACTTCCCTCTCATAGAGTGCGTTGAACCAGAGCATGAGGTTCCTGGAGAGGACGGCGTCAGACCTGCCGGTAAGTGGAGCGGCCCGTCGAGCCTCCATCCGGCGCGCGGCCCGAGACGTGAGCAGAAACACCACCTGTCGCTCTATTCTCCCCAGAACAAAGTCTTAGCCGTTCTCGATGCCATCAAAGCGGCCCAGTACCTCGTCTCCCAGAATGCAACGCATTTAATCAATCTGGTGAGTGTTTCATATTCGCGTTTGCAAGCCCATTAGCTAGGCAACAGCTTGGGTCCGTGTCTACTTCCTGTTGGCTGATATCCTTCACACACACAGCAGCGGGAAGTTGGCAGGGACACATTTAGAATGTTATCAGCAGAATGGTCTGTTAAAAAAATGCTTCAATCGTTTACAGGAAACGCGAAAATACACAGCGACCATTGTGGGCTACTTCCATCAATACATGGAGTGGGTCAAAACATCAGTAAGTGTGAATTTGCTTTGTGTCTCATCGGCTTCTGCTCTCGTTCAGGAATTATGAACAAAGTGGAAAATAAAGCCTGAAGCTGAAGCTCGGAACCCTCAAGTCGTTTCTATTTCAATAAGAAATGTTTACGGGGTTTTATTTTCCCAGAGCAGTCTAGAATCGCATCGGGCTTCATTGTTGCTAAGCAACAAACTGAATTGAACTCTCTCTCTCCAGTTGGCTCTGGAGGTCGCACCGTGCAAGCCCCTCAGCAACCTGCTGGACACGGCCGAGATCATCGCTTGCAGCTTCCTGGTGGACTCCATGGTAATGACATCAGGGAGGTTTTTTGTTTTCCTCGAGGTCCGGCCGCTCTGCTGCAGCTCGCCGTGGTCCGATGTGGCGTCTACTTCTCGTAAATCCACGTGACAACAGTCGCCTGCACACGTCTGGTCTCGGGAGATTTGTAGCTGAGCTGAACGTTTGTCTTAGAAACACACAATACAAAAGAGTAAGACTGTAATTCGCAATTAATATTAGCCATTTAAAATCAGAAAAGAAAGGATGAATAACTGGGAGATTGAGAATATTTTACATATTGTAAATTGATTTTGAGTGACTGAGTGGACTGTAACGCGGCGGTTTCCCTCCCCAGAACGCCTTCTGGATGGGTTTGGGCTGCAGCACCCTCTTCCTGCTGCCCGGCATCATTCTGGCCGTGAAACTAGCCAAGTTCTACCGCAGGATGGACACGGAGGATGTTTACGATGAGTGAGTACTTGTACACACACACACACACACACACACACACACACACACACACACACACATTTACTGACCAGTTTGTTCTTTGTAAAAGCACATTTGTTTGCAGTTTGTAGTCTTTACATACATTACATCTGCCGTGTTTCTGTAATAACGTCTCACGCGAGTTCCTTCCTAACACCGACTTCATTTCAATAGCATTTAATGACATTGATATAATGTTAATTTAGATAACACCCATTGTACTGTTACATTAAATAGAAACGAAATACCAACGTACGGTTTGTTTGTCAGTGACTGGTTTTGATCCTCGCTCTTCTCTCCCTGGTAGTTCCTCTGTTTCTGGGACTTGGCATTTCACTTTGTGATAACCATTCCTACTATTTCCATCTTCCATATCTTGTTTTTTGTTACATTCTTCTCTGTCAAGCACTTGGCACTTTACAAAGAAACATTGACGCGTTCGTCGACCTGCATATTTCTCCTCATGGACCTTTTTTTCGCCACAACGTAAAGTCTCTGGTCGTGTGATCTGTGTCCGGGTGACAACTTCACGGTGCATTTCTATCAATGAACATTCCCGTTGACCTCTTTATGTTGTTGTTTTTTTTTCCTTTTGTGTACCTTCATAGCATTGAGACAATTCCCATGAAAACGTAAGCCATTCGATCCACCTCCTCTCTCCCTTTTCAGCTTCTGTCACTCTGTGCTCTTCTCCGGATGCTGTACATAGACCCGTTTACTGAACTACTGGTGCTGGTTTACGTCTTTACGCTTGGACTTGCTCTTTCGGGTGGATGGTGTGGCTTCTTGTCGTGTGCTACCTTTGAAAAGTGCCCCTTACCTTTCACGAAGGGCTCTTGGAATCATTACCTTACGAGTCCCTGTGTTCATAGTGTAGATAAAACACTATGGTTTATACAAAAAAAATATATATATATATCTCTTAACATTCTTGAAAAGTTTGACTACTCAAAAAAAGAAAGCGTTTTTACTAGAAGACCGATCAGCATGTCTCCCACATTACATTTTTCATCCCCTTGTCTGTACACAATATTTTGTTTTCAGTATGGAAATTGGTAATAATGGTTATCATAGCGAGAGCCCACGAGGTATCCCAAACCCCATGATGACGAGGTAACCCTTCGTATAGTAATGCCCTTACTGCATGTCATGGGAGGAGGAGGCATGTCTGAATCACACACACACACACACACACACGCATGCATGTTTGTCTGTTTGACCCGCCTCCTCACGGCGTCGTAATGACGGCGCTGAGCGTGTGCCGGATGTTCTGCTGTGCGTCTTTTTGGGGCGGATCTCGTTTCACTAACCGACTGCTTGGTCTGTGTGCGCAACGTGAGTTGAAAGTCACCCTGTTTCTTCTCGTTTAGAGTCAGCCAGAGTCCGACCAATGTACACCTGATCATTTTGTTCCGAGAGAGGCAAGCATGCAGCGCTTTGGTGTGACCTTTTTCTTCTCCACCTAACGGGACGTCTAACCGCATGTGTTGTGTTTTTGAGGTTGCAGATGAAACAGAAGCTGTGAGAAGAGAGCAGGACAGCTAAAGCAGACGCCTTTGCTTCCACAGTCATCCTCTTTTAAATCAATTGAACTTTTACACGAGTGGAGGATCATTTCAAAAGGAGCGATCCGATATTAAATAAAAATATCGAGCTCCAAACATCTGTGCAAGTAAAAAAAACAATCTCCAAAAATCCAGCAGGCTTTTAAAGGGGCAATGAGTAATTTATGACTTCTATTGACCTTCATTAAAAAACCTGAGAAATCTGTGAACCTGGAGAAATGGCCCCCAACTAACAGAAGACTACCTCGTGCTTTGAGACTTTCTGCCCCTTTAAGTGACCTTTGTCGGATGCTGATGCCGCTGCTCTGCTCTCCGGCCTGTGACCGCTCGTCCCGTTTCTCACAAAGTTAAAGCAGCCCGCTGGTAGCTGTGCTGTGATCCTAAAGTGTGTCCTCTTGTGTGTGTGTGTGTGTGTGTGTCCCTGTGCCGGTAGCGTCCCCACCTATGACTCTATGAACAGGTTCCCGCGGGCCTCGGCTCCTCCGAGGCACATCGACTGGTGACGGGGAGCCGGCCCTTGTCCTGGCTCCTGAAAGGTACCGTTTTCAGCGACGTCCTTTAGTTCGATGACTTCCGCGCCGACCTTTCGGCCTCTCTCCCACGCGGCCGTCACCTCGTCCCGCCGCCATCGCCGTCCGCCTCATTTCCTCTTCTAACCCAACTCTCTTAACACTTCTTTACAGCTGGTTTTAGTGCTTTTCTGCTCACAGTCACTTTGCAGGAGAACCATCATGGTGAGAAATGCTAATTTCGGAATGAGTAACAAACCACAAATGTCCTCCTGGTGTGACCACTTTCTGCTTTGTGTGATGCTAATGAAGGAGAACATGGTAAAAAAAAAAAATCCCCTGGATGTCACACAACACGCTGTCATACTCTCTCCCTGACCACGTAGATGCGTTTTGCAATATAGCTTTTAACATCTGAAGGGAAATGCAGAGAGGAGATCAGGTCGTATAGTATACCGCTATATAATATATATCCCAAGTAGAAATAAGCCCCACGCAGCACTTTCAATACTCTCTATGGAGCTTCATGAGACACTGAACAGCAGCATTAATCTCCTGGAAGAGAAGAGAGAAAGCACACTTCATATTTTATTAAACTAATTTATTGTTCTCCAATATTTGCCTCCTCAGTGCCCTCGGAAACTGGAACTGAAATACAGCACAATAAGTGAGTCTACCTTCTTTTAGACGAAAGCCATCTGTGAGAATGTGTTTCCCGGATCAATAGTCAGAAATAAGAGGGTTCATAACCATTGTTAAAGGCATATTGAGGGGGATTATTTCTGAAGGACGAAAGGCTAAATTGATCTGATTAATCTACAAAATCTTTACCTTTTCAAGAGAAACATTGCAGTATTGGAAACTAATTCCGTGAGTTTATTGCCATTTTATTATTATTGTGTGAAGACCTGATGTGAGGATTGATCGGTACTGGTTAAGTGTCCCTTAACTTTGCCTAAATATAGTTACTAATAGTAACTTTCCTCTATTTAAGCTGTCTGTTTGACGAGCCCTCGGACCAGAAGAAGCTGCTTTTCTCACACAAGAAGAAGAAAACACGAATCCCTTCGCGTGTACCTTTTTTTTGTACCCGTAGCTCTACTGAACCTCCTCCGAGGGACATCAACCTCTTCTTCCCCAGCATCAATCTGAGCCACGCTTGCTCTGCATTATTAGTCGTCGTTTTTTTTTTTTTTCAAGGACCGCCGTGTCTGCGTTTACAATTGTTCAGACACGAAACCACGCTGAGAAATGACTCTGGACCACAGCGATGCCTGTTCGTATCGACGTGTGAGCTGTTAGAGGACACCTGTTCTCCTACGTCCAACACCTGCTACCACACAAAGGGGAACGGTCTGTTCACCTGTGAGGACACGGGACATTTAGCGGTTTGTTAAGCATGACTTTACGAAAACGAAATGTTTACAACATTATGAAAGCATCCAGACGTCTTTGCTGGTTATGAGCAGATTTCAGATGACTCGTTGCCTTTTAGAACTTAGTTCCACGCAGTTGTTGTTTTTGTCAGACGTGCTTCTTTGTTTTAAGGGAAAATCCACTCGTGAATGAAATGTGAAACACAAATGGTTTAATTGTCGGGCCATTGGGATCCTAAAGTGTCTCCCCTTGTGTTTGATCTGAAACCCCAAAAAGAATTAAAAGAATTAAGCTATTTGTAGTCTTACAAGTTGTTTTGGTCAATGGCCGGTTAGAAGTTTAACCAAAGAGGGACTTTTTCTAGCTGCCATTGACTCATCTGATTGGTTTGAGAAAACCGACCGATGAGGCAAACACAATATTTGAAAAATGAACCATTAGCTCAATGAAAAGCAGGCCATCAAGAAATACTGATTTATAAATCATTTTCAGTATTTGAGGTGGATTTTCCCTTCAATTCACATAAAGTCAGAGCATTGCCTCGATCGAGGGCTGTTCCCGAGCCGGCATCATGTTGAGTTCACCACCGTCACATTTCTACGGAGGTTCTTCCTGCTTTCGTAGTGAGGATGCGTTTAAAGTGGAGAATTACTTTCTCGCGCCAAATGTTTATTTGTAGACTCAGCTCTTCTACCAGAGATGTGCTTAATCTGTTCTGCTTCTTAAAACCCCACAGTAGCTATGGATACAGTTAGTTTAGTTTTTTTAAATATATGGAACGAGCGAATGTTTCAAGAGCTTTCTTTTTTTTTTGGTATAACTTGTGAAATATGCTGAATCACTAATGCAGTGGGCAGGCCAATCTAGTCCCCCCCCCCTCCCTCCATGTTTACAGGTTAGATTTAGACAATCCATTCATGGGACAATTCACAACGTAGAAAACCAGTAGAAAGCTTAATGGTTTGCACAGTGGATGGTGTCCACACTGTAGAAAACGTCCATCTTAACTTTGAAAATTGTATTAAGCTAACTCTAGATGAGCGATAATATATGAAAACCATATTCATCAAAATGAAATAAATATGAAGTACATTTCAATGTACATTTTCACTGTATTTTGGCGCTTTATTTACTTTTAGAATTAGCTGACACGATTTCTAAGTAACTTCAAAGCTTTCTTATTGATCTCACATTAGAATTAAAGTTTATTAGCAAATTAGCATAAAAACCACAGAAACATTTGTTCACCTGGACGACATCTCCTTTTTATTAACTAGCATCACATTGACAAACTAACTCAACGTGAATCAATGAGGAGCATTTTAATCACGTAATCATTTCAGATTAAATCTCCACACAAAGGCCGAGGCTCGTTAGCTAGTAGCTAAGGCTAGTGAGCTAGGTCTTTATTACACATACAGTAGTTCATATAAACTCGTACATACAACAGTACCTCAAAGGAATACTACGTGGTAGCAGGTACATGCTGTATTACCGCCATTTGGATGAAGTTTACCGGGTGTGGATTAGCATAAAATTAGCGTAGGCTTTGTTTTTTGCTTTTTCTTGCTACGATGGACATTTTTAAGTATCAGTGTGCTCACGTCACAGGACTATCATTGTTGTCTGCTAGAGTCTGTGATCCAGCTTGGGAAAGAGACGGTCTGATTTTAAGTGCTTATTATATAGTGTATCCGGACACACGGACACGGCAGTAAGTGGTTTGAGTAAAGTTGGGCACTGATGGAGCCAGAGAAACAAATGCGATGGTGAAAAGTGTATAAATTGTGAATAAACTTTGAAATTCAATTCGTTATCACTTTTTTCAGTTTGGTTTTCATGGGAGTGAATTTTCAGTTGTGCTTACATTTCCCTCTTGTCCAAATGTGAGATTAAGTAGTAATCCTATGTCTAAATAAAGCAGGAAATGGGAAACCATAGTACGTAGAATGCACATTCTATTATCTTCATCCTGAGCTCTGAATAAAAACCACCAGACATCTCACTACTTCCAAACAGGCTCGTATACATGAACGAGAACAGAAGCCATTCTGGAAGAAATCAACGGGTAGTCATTTAAAAGTACTGTAAATTGCACCGCAAGAAAAAAATGTACTTGCAGTGGCAAAGAAAACCTCTATTATGAATGCTTTAATTTTTAGTTACACATAAGATTTGAATGCACAGAGTAGTTTTACCCCAACTAATATGCTTTGTCTTAAATACTAAAAGGTCAGTCTAGCAGGTGCAAGTTGTACTTTTTTCTTGGAGTGGATTTTATTTGAGGGACATGATGGGCTACACTGCATGGTTGAGAACTTTAAAAGGCTCAAACAATGAAATAATCTCAATAGAACTACTGCCTCTGTAGACAGAGCGCTGTTAACTCAAGAACATTTCAAATCCACTACGGGGCAGACAGTGCCCGCGTTTACAAGTAGCCTTAAGACTAATTTAGAGCTGGCTCAGGTCAGCCCTTGAATGAGCTGCTAGATGCCTGGCAGACTTCCTAGGCTACACCACGCCTTCTAGACAAACTTGTCCCACTGATGCAAGTCAGTCTGCTTGCCTCATCCAGTTGCAATGGATCATTGTTTGATATCATTTTTACACCCAACCCCCAGGAGAATTATGAAGCAAGATTTAAGGTAACTTTTATTTGAAGCAAATATAAAAAGTAGGTACAAAACATCGTAAGATGCAGGAAGAACCAATTCACTGTCCTGCTAAAAGGTTACACCTAGGGTGCTGTTATTGTTGTAGCCTGCATTGCCGTCGTCCCAAAGGGTGGCGTTGTAGCCTGCATTGCTGTCGTCGCCCACAGTGCTGTTGCCGTCGTCCCCAAGGGTGGCGTTGTAGCCTGCATTGCTGTCGTCGCCAACAGTGCTGTTGCCGTCGTCCCCAAGGGTGGCGTTGTAGCCTGCATTGCTGTCGTCGCCAACAGTGCTGTTGCCGTCGTCCCCAAGGGTGGCGTTGTAGCCTGCATTGCTGTCGTCGCCAACAGTGCTGTTGCCGTCGTCCCCAAGGGTGGCGTTGTAGCCTGCATTGCTGTCGTCGCCAACAGTGCTGTTGCCGTCGTCCCCAAGGGTGGCGTTGTAGCCTGCATTGCTGTCGTCGCCCACAGTGCTGTTGCCGTCGTCTCCAAGGGTGGCGTTGTAGCCTGCATTGCGGTCGTCGCCCACAGTGCTGTTGCCGTCGTCCCCAAGGGTGGCGTTGTAGCCTGCATTGCGGTCGTCGCCAACAGTGCTGTTGCCGTCGTCCCCAAGGGTGGCGTTGTAGCCTGCATTGCTGTCGTCGCCCACAGTGCTGTTGCCGTCGTCCCCAAGGGTGCCGTTATTGTTGCCCACACCACCATTTTGGCCTGCGTAGTCGCCTACAGTGCTGTTGTGGCCCACACTGTCGTCCAGAGTACCGTTGTGGCCCATGTTGCGGCTACCCTTGGCGCCGATGGGGCCGCCGCGCTGCGCATGTTCAACTTTCAGGTAGACAGCCGATGCCTTAGCTTCCACTTCATTGGTTTCCAGTTGGACTGAAGTAAAGACATTAAATTAAGACACAAATTACATTCAGGTACCAAAATCTCCAATGAAATGATCCATATATGGACAAACATGAATCCAGTAGTGATAAGTAGAGCTTGCGCACCTTTTTTTGACTTCTGCAGGAACACAGACTCATGTGACTGGTGAAGCGTAAGGACCTTCGTTATGGAGGCGTCATTAGGAGACACATCTAGAGTTAAATAAATTAAGTCAGTGTCAAAGCTAAAAAATATTCAGTCACCAAATATCCTTACTTCTCATTGTCCTCTGCGGCCCATTACCACTCATTTCATTTGCATCACCGACCGGCAAACCAGAGCCTACGGATAAAGAAGGTGCAAAAGTAAGTCCTTCATCAAAAGTTCCTTCATCATCCTTACATGTACGATACTCCACAGCGGATTTACTGAATAGAAGTTTCCAATAGAAACAAATAGAAATACCTTTGGTAAACCAGACAGCCAGCACAGACACAAGCAAGGCCCAAAACGCTCCCATCACTTCAGTCACCAACAGGAAATGCAATCTGAGCCGCGTGGCAGGTTACATATACCCATGCTGCAGGTGTCACAGGTGTTGCTGATCAGCTATAATTGTCTCTCTCTTCAGGAATCAGTGCTCGTTGAGATGCAGACGTTCTTTTTTTTTTTTTTTTTTCACAAATGTTTGACTATTCAATACTGCTTATCCTTAGAAGGTCAGGTTTTTGAAGGGGAGCCAACCTTTTACTAGCAAGGTTTACCTAATAAAGTGTCCGGTGACTATACGTATGCTAAACTAAAATAAAACCGGTGGTTTTATTAGGTACAAGTCGATTGTCTAGTGATATAGTTTGTCTAGATGCCATTGCTCTGGTATCACAGCAGCTGCATTGTAAAGAATGTTGGAATCATCTTCAATCAGGATGTGTCCTGTGTCTCCCAGATAAAATAAAACTGGCTATGCTCAACTATGTAACACATTGAAAGTCAACCACTTCCTGCCTCAGTGATGAAGAAACATTTGTTCATGCATGTGTTACTTTCAGACTATATTATAGTTGATATATCAAATATAGGAAATGTATGTATGTGTAGCCAGACACAGACCTAAATTATACATCAAGGTAGTTGACATCTGTCACACTCAGATAAATATTTACCTTGACAGACAATGCAGTGAACTTGAATATCTAAAGACTGAACTCGTGAACTGTTTTATTATTTATGGGGAAGGTATTTTGAGTATTTTAAATATAAAATTACTCCCCTCTAATGAATTTTATTACAAATCCGCCACCGCCGACGCCCCCCGTGGAGGGCCATGCTGCTAAGAGGACGGCTCGGCAGTACTGCTGGAGGTCACATCAGGCGAAACACAGCGAAGCTGTAGCAAGGGCTACAGAGCCTCTGGGGATTTACTATACATCCAAGTACTGTCGCGGAATGATGACTACTGTATATCAAGTTTGCCTCCAGCATTTGTGCGCATAACATTTTTTCTTCGACGTGCTCGAAATATAACTAATGCACATGAATTACAACTATGCATTTCCGCCTGTGTGCTATATTCACAGACGTAAAACTGATTAGGATAATGACTGATGGATTAAAGCGGCCTGGGAGGGACACTCCTCACCAGCAGTTTGTTCGTAAAAGAGATGGAAGAACCATAGCGCTCTCTTCAGGGGAAGGGAGAGTACTGCCGATCATACCAAGTTGCATTTCTGTTTTAACCTGCAAATATCATTCTCCAAATGTCATAGTTTGGAGAAAGACAATCTAAATTGTGTAGAAACAAACTAAATGAAACAGATGGTACAAATGGCATGAACTCCGCATCAACGAAAGAATGTTTTTGCAGCTGCACAAACATGGAGGAAGGAAAAGTGCACAGACAACTCACTGGTCATTTTAGTTGTGCACTTGTTTATCAGCTACTCGTGTGACTTAATATTAACATTTTTAAGGTAGTAATTTATGTTTTGGTGTATTTGACGGGAATATGTACTGAATGTGAAAACCTTCTCAATTATTTGGTTTTGAGAAGCTTGTTTTTATTTTATCTAGGTAAATGTATGTTGTTAATTGATATTTTAACACAAAAGAACAGCAATGTGGAAAATAACCACAAATAAGTGATACTTAGACTTCTGCTAATCCTCGTTATGGTCATCCATACAACCGCTAGATGTCACTGTCGCTTAAATCAAACAGTGATTATCTCCTACTGGACCATTTGGCTTCACGCAAGATAGTTTCAGTCATTTTATCTCAGCACACTATGCTAACAGATGCAGTGAAGGTTTTAAAAACAATAAGGGTAGTAAGATTTTTTTCAAATGAATGAAAAAGCTGAAAGGGAAAATTAACATAAAAGCAGGTGGGATTGCTCGAAGCTTGCAGCACTATCTACCAAAAGAGATTCTTTTTTTGCCCCAATTTACGTCAATCTGCCAAAATGCCTACAGGGATATTTCTAGAAGACTATAACTTTACTGGCTCACTGACATGAAACCAAAAACATGTAAGCCACCTTATCATAGTGTGTGTGTGTGTGTGTGTGTGTGTGTGTGTGTGTGTGTGTGTGTGTGTGTGTGTGTGTGTGTGTGAGAGAGAAGGGGAGGGCTGATTCTGCAGCAGCATATTGTAACTGCAGGTGCAGTGAAGGAGACTCTCAGTTCTCTCGTGTCGTGACTGAAAACTGAAGTTAACTGTGAAAACTTCAGGTAAGTCGGCTCCGTTTCCATCTGGGCCTGATTAATAATCACTGTGCTATGAGTACAGCATTATAACATAGATAATGTGTGTGTGTTTGCTACTCCAGTGGCTCATTTATATAGTACCGTAACATTCTTCCGGTGTTTTAAAAATCCTTACGGTACTTTTCTGTTAAAATACATAAGTTCCCGGCTGATGTTTTTCTTCTATTTTATTTAACTTGTTTAAAACAAATCATGTGGCATTTAATGTTGTCTTGTGTTTTTCTTTTCTTAAAGTGAAGCACTAACTTAACTTGAAGGATGCTATTCTAAAAAAAAAACGACGTCATTTTTTAAGTCTAGTAATCGTTTGTAATAAGCGAAATGAAAGATCGTACATCTAAATGCCGAGGTATCCCCTTGCAGGGTGTGTTGTGCTGGTCTCATGGCTCTCATCACCAACGTGAGCGCCCTGCTGGTCTTGGCTTGTATTTCCCATCAGCTGATGTCGAGCAGCTGCCAGAAGAGCCACGGACGGCGGGGGAGAGGTATGGACAGAGGACAGCCCAAGGTCAGGCTGGTCGGGGCGAGGTCAGGGCCCAAGGCGGGCCGCCAATCCGCGGCCGTCCCCGCCCACACCCTGAAGGGCAAGATGGTCGTCAAAGACAAGTCCGAGTGCACGTGGGCCGCCACCGGCGAGGACACCTTCGTCCTGGGTGTCTCGTGCCGGAAGTGGGGCAGGAGCTTCGGCTGCGAGTACGTCGCCAGGCCGGCCGCCTGTCCTCAGTACGCCTCCAACGTGGACCTCTACTGGAAGCAAATCGCCAGGGCGCTGAGGAAGCAGAGGAGCGCGTGCGGGGCCGCGCGGGTCACGGCGGGCGTGTGCCGCCGCGCGCCCGCAGACGCGCACTTCAGGCCGCGTAAGGCTCCGGGGAATCCCGTCCGGCCTCCCGCCCCGGGTCCGGCACCCAAGGGCGCCAAGTCGTGTGTGCCAGGGAACCGGAAGCTGGCCGAAGAGCACTGCAACGAGTCCTGGTCCAGTTTCTGCACCTTCTTTTTCACAATGGTGCAGGATTACGATTGCTGAGGCTGATCAGATCTCTGTACAGTAACATCAGTACTTATCTTATTATAGACTATTTAAAGACAAATGCATCGCCATTCCTGACAAGTACTCTAACCCTATTATTACCTTTTCCTTCTATTCTTTAATGCTGTTTTGTTGATTTCGGGAGATAGCTGGCTGTTTAATAAAATACTGGACACACGTATAAACTTAACCCAGCATACGCACGTGTAGCCTCATTTCATTTCATCTTAAAAGGCATTCGCCCGTCATACTAAATTCATACTTCAAAAACAACACAAAACTGCTTAAAACCTAGAAGATCTCCGGTTGTTTCCAGATGTTGCGTGCTGTCCTGCTGAAGGTATTCGATGGGGGAGATCAGGAGTTTGAGCATGTTGGGTATTGACGCAGTAATCTAACCGGAGGGCGTGCGATTTGGCACCGTTGGCCCGCATACTTTACCCCCGAAGAGCCTCCGGATTCACACGAACCCGACGAACTCACAAAATAAGGCAGCAGAGGGATGACGAAATGGACGAGACGTGTTCGGTGTTTCATGAACAGGATCAAAAGGCTTCTGCACCCACTTTAGATCTCAGTACAGACACTTAACTCTTGGCTGAAACAATGCTACAAAATAATAAATGTGACACTTAATACACCAGTTAATCAATGCAATTCAGTTTCCACCCCTGCCCATGTTCAAGTAGGTTCGTGGTTATTTCGATGCTGGGTGTCAGTTATTTGTGTGTAACAAAATCTTATTCTCCCCATTGACTGTGTTCCAGATTTTTTAAATTATTTTTATAACTCGTCATTTTCCTGAAGTAAACGGGACGAGTAGTTCATCATTGTGCTTCACATCCCATCAGGATTGCGATGAGTCAGTCCCAACATTTGTTTTTTTTAGAAAAAAGGCAACTTTCTCCACCCGCGGGAGCTCCACCCGACCAGAGAGGATAAGCCTCGGGACACGCTGCGATTGGAGAAAGGCAATTACGGCTCTCATTATTCTGATGAGTTCAGCCTCATCGCCTGCTGCAACATAACGCATTACCCACAGCTGAAGTCCATAAAGATCTCAGGCTCTCAGCAGGTGGCATTCTGGGGCATGAAGGAAACCGTCCTCCGGGAGGTAAATCAAAGGACAGCCACCAAAGAACTGCAGGAATGCAGCGAAATATAGAAGAACATTTAGGGAGGAGGTTTCCTTTTGATTCCTTTTCCTTTTTAAAATCACTCAATATATGTCATAATTTTGATTAAAAAGTTCTCACAGGAGATACTAAGGACATCAGAAGAAAGACACTATTTTACAACTGCTAATTATATTTAGATATCCAGTCGTGTTAATACCTCTGCTTAAGCTGGACCCATTTCAGAAAGCACCCAAATGAACCTCAGCTGTTCCGTGAGGCCACTCTTTGCTTTTACGGGATATAAAATCATGTTAAAAGTAAAACTGTTCTACTCAGACAATTTCAACAGACAACAATACGTTTGCTTTCTTTAACTACTTTGGATAGATGCAAAATTCCAACGTTATACACATTCTTTCCAGATTCTGCACCCTCAACAGTGCGGTCCCTCAAGCAAGAAGCAAAAAATGATATCAACCACTAAATAATAATTAAATTGCAAATAACAGCAGCAACCAATGAGCTTTAAAGATTAAATTCTAAATGATTAATTGCCAATGAAATCCCACTGTCTTCTGGTTCCAGCAGGTAGAGCTTATTGCCATTCCTCCCATGCATAGTGATAAAGGCACCCACCATAAAGAATGACTGGGTTGTTATGTTCATGTATTATCATTTATTTAGCTATTCCTCAGAACAAATTGTTATGACAAATTATGCAGGTGCAGCTGATTCAAGTTATGAAAAAAATAATATTCAATAGAAAACATCATTTTGATTTTAAATGATAATTACAAAAATTACAAAATATTTCATATTCTATATATTCTCCACTTTTAGAGGCCACATGCATGCGTTGGCATTGGCACCGTGTTGTTTGACACTGTCCTTGTGGCAGTAGATGTGCAGGACTGGAAGGAACTGTCCGCATTGCTCTGTGTGGTCGTCGGCTATTTGTTGAGGTTTAAAACCCTTCACATCCCATCAGAGGCTGAGACGAGGCGTCCATCCGGAGTGGACTGTGGATTTGCAGGTGGCCTGACCGCGTGGGGCTCCTGATAGGCCGAGAGACGTGGGGGGGCGGGGCCTTGGTCAAACTACAAGTTCACTATCGACTCAAAAGGAGATTTGTGTGTGTGTGTGTGTGTGTGTGTGTGTGTGTGTGTGTGTGTGTGTGTGTGTGTGTGTGTGTGTGTGTAAAACCAGGCTTACACACTATGAATGCCGGGGCATTTAAAGAGCTTTCACCTCGGCGGTGCCAAGAGTACAAAGAACTGAAGGGAATTAATGTAATGCCACAAATATGACATTGTTAGTGGGCAATGAAACTGATTAGCGTGTGCGGGGTGGCACGTCTGAACCGAGCAACCGAGAAACCAGCTCCCATGTAACTGGACTCTTAACTGGCAGAGTCACACACACACAATGAGAAGAGTCAGCAACTGAGTCAGAGCAGGAATTAACCTGGACTGCTTGGTGAGGAAGTTCTAAAACCCTCAGAAACTGGGGACGAAATGATGCTACGGTCCCTCGTTTGCCTTCTCCTGCAGTGGAAGTGATTTATGATCAGAAGCCGCCGCCGCCGGCTGCAGTGACGCAGAGTCACTCTTATTGATCAACAACCACACAAACTGTAGACATGTTGCGCTTATTTTGTATCGTAGCACAGTTGAGATTTTGCAGTTATTCGCTGATATATTTAAGGGGATTGTGATCTCAATGAACACTTGTTGAACTGAACTTGGTCCTAATTAATCTCCTCGTTAACCAAAGTATTTTTTGTCTGAACGTTGTAACTGTTTTGTCCATTTAAGACAGACGATAGAGATGTTTGAAGCAAACCATTAACGTTGATATGTCATCTTTTACCTAATGTTTCATTTTGATTGCTTTAACTTACTCTTTACATTCTATAATCAATAAATATATTTATGTCCAAAACATTATTATCTTAAGCCGTCTGAAGCAGCTGCAGCGCCTCCAACCTGAACAATGACGCCTGCGTCAAAAAGGTGGCGATGAATTCAAAAGTGTTTTTGCAGTGAGATCGGAGCCTCTGGGGGGAAGCATGCCAATACATGAAAACATTTTCCAACCTGAACCTTCGGGTGTTTCTCGAATAGGTCACATCTGGCAGACAAGGACGTGAAGAATATGAGGTGAGGCCTGTCAACCGGTTTACTGCCCTGGGTAATTAGGTTTTAAAGAGTAAATGCATGAGGCCATGTTCAGACTTATGCATCACTCAGAGATCACTATGTCTGGAATTCAGCTTTTAAAAGCATAGTGCGGTTCATGCATCCCAATGGAATCCCTGTGACAGTAAAATACAGCAATGTCTTTAATCCCAGGGACACACTGCTGTCGAGAGGATAAGCACTTCTCAAAACCAAATAATACATGGCGATATTCCAAAAAAACACTGTGAAGCAATTCTTGTGTATCATTTTTTACATTTTTGGAATGGAATCCATACTGTGAAGACCTAAAAGTGCTGTGGTTACATCTCTGCTCCCAGTCTATGAGGAGGACTCTTGTCTCCGTTTGGACTTTGCTGCCCCCCTGTGGTGCAACTCCAGTACAGCGGGGTCATCAACCGCCCATTGATCCTAAGCCAATTAGTCAGGGACACCAAGTCCCTTCATGCAGAAAGACAGCGAGGCAGTAGATGTCTTCTTCTGAGTAAACAGATGTCTAATAGTGTCTCATTACGTATTGATCCCTAACAGGAATTTTGTAATTCAAGTCGGGGAAAGCTGTTCATTTGTAATTAATGAAAGATGGAGAGCTGTAGCCACGCAGGGTTTAATAATTCAGCAGCCGTGTGGTTTTTTTCTCAGTTTCAATTTCAATACATGCTGTGATCACTACAGACGACTGCTAACATGAAGACAGTAACAACAAATATCACTCACTCAAACACTTCTACCAGATGCTTCCACAATAGATGCAAAACTGCACCCTGAATCCGATTTGTGTTGTTTTACTGGACACGCAGAAGAAAAGACAAACATCTTTGAAGTTTAACTTCCACTCAGAATGCTGTTCATGCAAAGGTACATTATTTCAGAAGGACAGATGAGTTATTCACGCAAATCCAATCAATAAAAAGCTGTCAGGAAGAATCAACAGCTCCAGATCAATAACCTCACCTCACATGCATGTAGCAGCACGCTCAGCGTTGCCAGAATGGATAATTTGGGCTTGAAATATAGCATTGGGCTGGTCGATGAATTATGGGATGCTTTTAACTTTCAACCCTGTTAAGAGATGATGAAGGATCCCATTGACGTCATCGTCGCTGAAATTATGGCAATTAGTGGTTTTGTTTTTCTTCAATGCACTCTTTAAAGTGTTGCTGTACCCTTTTTATCATTTTATCTTTGCCAATGAAATGCAGATACGAGGCTTTGTATGCTCATCGCATGTATTCCACTGCACATGTATGCAATTGTAGCAAGGTCACGATCTTGTTTTTGTTATAGCCGTCAATCCAATCCAGCAGCACAGATGACTCGTCGTCACGAAGGGACACTAATCATTCCCCCCACAGAGGTAGAGCAAAGCCTTCTGGTAGTCTCCGGTTGTGTCCTCCTGCCAGAAACAACAGACGCAGCATTAGTTTATCCATCTAATCAAATTCAGAAGGTCTTGGGTCGCTTGGCATAATTTCCTTGTAATGTGTTCGGCTTTTAAAATGCTCTAATAGTATGTGTGTCACACGCTCTGGTTCTGTGCACGTGGTCGATCACATTTCCTCAGCCGGCTCAGCAGATGTTACCAAACTAGCTTCCGCTAGCTGGATCCACAAACACTCCTTTGGAATTCATGGAGTTCAGCAATGGTGACCAATGGTACGTGTAGGTAGCTTCACGACGGGGTGAATCCGTTCATTACGTGCTGCTCAGACGATTAGCATTACGCTGGTTGCCTCGACTTAGCATCCAATGGGCCCTATTTTAAGACTAGAGGGGTGTTAGCTAACGTATGTGTGCTCACAGTACATATGTGATTACTTAGCAGCCATTTACACACCAGTGGGGAGTTATTATTTGAAATAAATCAAACAATAGCTGTAGCTTTTCAGCAGCGGCCTTGAAAAATGTCCTGCCCATAAATCTGTAATAAAATTGGGTTCAATTACCCTGAATGACTAATGAGGAGGTTTTGACATCAATCGTGGCTCTGGCACATTTCAAAGAGCCAGTACGCCGTGACGTGTCAACCAATAAGGCCAAGGAAATGTAATACCTTTAAAGGTAGGGCAGCCATGACTCATGTTACTAGTTACTCTTGTGGCTCACAGGTTGTTACATCAGCCGAGAGATTGTATGAACACAAAAAGTCATAAAAGATTGTATGAGAAACGGTGAAAAGCAATTGTTGCGTTGAGCATTGCCACAATACAACGATAAAATAGCCACTCGTGCATTGAGTGCCGGAGGGAAACCGTGAAGAGATGACAGCGACACATCTGAAGGATTGAATCATGAAAGAAACAGGCGGCACGCTGAAAAGCTTTTCTGAATAACTTTTGCGTTTGAGTGAGCAGAAACCTGGATCGTGTTGTACAGAGACGCTCCGTAAGTTCTTTTGAAGCTGGCTCTGATGTCCAACATGTCCACCTCACTCCTGGACACCATGATCCTCATGAGGGTGTCGTCATCGGTCCCAGCGCGCTAAACACAATGAAACAAGGAAAGAAAAGGAGTCAGGCTTTCATTTGTAGGCTAAGCTAAGCTAAGCTAACTAGCTGCAGCTTTACATTACCATACAACCAAGAGAGATGAACTGTTCTGGTAAACTGTGTTACTACGCTAACTGATGCAGTCTTGACGAGCATTTGATTGATTTTGTATCTCAAAGACATTTCGAGAGTCGGATAATTATTTACATAACGTACGGAAATGAATAGAAAAGCACATTATCCAGTGCTTGTATACAGATAGCTGTGATATGTGTGATATTTAGATGTTAAAAAACATAAATAAATATCAGCACATCTAGTTCACATATCGGAGCTTCAAATATAATTAGCTAAATTAAAGTGTTAAAAAACGACATGTTGTTGTTGTTTCGTGGGGGAATGTCGAGTGAGTCTCGGTGAGCCGCAAGGCGTCAATTAAAATTAAACACATTCACTACTTTTCTTTCAGAGTTTTTGTTGTTTTGTTTTTGAATGAAAGTCTCGTTTTCGACACTTTGGCATCGAAGGTGAGAAGAACTGTTTGTGTCACTGTATAAATCTCACACCCACCCTCATCGACTTGTACAGGCCTTCAGCGAAGAACTGTGGGACACTGCGGGCACATTTCACTGAGGAGACGAAAAGCCAACGTCAAAGTTCTTTATTAAATCTCATATATCTCACCGTAATGTGACATAATACTGGCAACGAGCTCCACTCTATTCTCTTCTGTTGTATTTCATTCTCACGCATGGTTTGACACTCAATTAATAACAGAGAGAAAAGAACTGAAGCCCTGTTGTTGTTGTTGTTGTTGTTGTTGTTGCTCCTGATAAGTCACCATAATTCTTACCCACAGCCAGCAGTAGGTTCTCCAAATTGCCAGTGGTCTCTCCTTCGATGCTGTCCTCTATGTCGGAGCCGGAGAGCTCCTTGTAGGCATCGAACACTGCAGAGGACAAAACAACCACGGAGGCACACGATGTGAAATAAACACCATTCAACATTTAAAAGTCCGGATCTTTTGGACTTCAGAGCAACTCACTATGTGAACAGAACGTCACGTGTCAGTTGTATTGAGTTTGGCATTTATTGCAAATCTACGGTGTTGTAATCAAGCCACTTTATTAGGTGCAACATTATCAGCCAACATTACACTTAATTATTGACACAGATCAAATAGCTCCAGTGCAAACAAACTCAGGGGGGATTTTGGAAAAGACTGTAATCGATAGAATATCACTGCCACAATTTGACTGGATATGAACGGATGAATAAAACATGCACCGCAGGCTTATTTAATTGGCCCATTGGGGCCTAGAACATTCCATTCCACTGTCTGTTAAACCAGCTCTCCTGAGTTCATATCAGGAGGCCTGATTGAGGCTCCAGCTGCATAAACTTGACCATACGTGTCATTGTGGGCAATGATGTCAGAGGCAGTTGTTGGATAAAGGGCTTGTGGTTGTTGTTTATTGCGCGTTTGTGGGAAACATGTTGTTTAAGTCACTCATGCTGCTGCTCTTAGAAATGTATTTGAACAACAACCAACCGGTTAAACTCTGTGTGAATAATTCATGCGGAGCAATGGAGAACAACACGAGGAAAAGGCTGATTGTTTGCCGTTGTTTGGTCTCTTCACATCACCACATCTGCACGAAGCAACCTTCGAGCATCCCGACACAAAGCGGCTCACCTTTCCTGAGATGCTCCGCGCTTCTGTTGCCCAGAATTGTGATGAATTTTTCCTCATCCGTGCCGAACTTGCCCTCACCAGCGGCGTACAACTCCTGTAACGGGAGACACACGCTGGAAGCTACACACTCACTGATGAACGGCCTTGTGCCGCCGCCAAAGCAACACAAAAAAACACATTTGTCTGTCTGGGGCATGAGAGAGGCAATCTGGATGTCATGTCTATTCACCTGCTGATCTGTGAAAATGGAGAAACAGCAATACGTTCGTACAATTAAGATGTAATTAAATTCAATATGACAGCTCAATACTGATGAAGTGTAATGGCCTGTTAGGGAAACAGAATGTTTCATTTCCAAAGGTTGACATGGTTTAATTAAATCCTTCCTACTGACTAATAACCGGAGCTTTCTTGGCCTTTAGCACAGATGTGATCACATCCTGAACATGGGGACATTTGCAGGGAGAGAGATTGCAGCAAGGAGGTCGTGCACGGCAAAGCTACCTGTGTGCTGCATTTGACGAACTGAACATTTAAAGACATTGGCTGTAAGCAATGAAATGAAAGCAGTTTTAAATGGAGCTATCAGACTGGGAGGGTTATGTGCCGGACCATTACTCGGCTGGAAGCGGTTGCCAGGCAACCAGTATACTTGTACTCAACCATTTACTGAAGTATAAGAAGAATACATATTTTGTTGTTAACTTTAAAGGAGAAAAGTAGTAAAATAATAACATAAAAAGCATATATTATTGGCCTGTTTCAGAATAACGTTTTTTTACATTTATATTTTAACCTATAATACGGTACACATAATTTCACCTGTGAATATATTTTGGATAGTTAATCAGGATAGTTAAATTAATTAGTTAAAAGGAAGTTGACGTAGCGGTGCTAAAAGTACATTATTAGGGTACCAGAACCTTCTTGTGTTTTTGTTTCTCACCTTGGCGTCTTCCTCTATCTTGTCCTCTTCTACTCCCACCTCCCTGCTCCCCTTCACAGACGGACAAAAGAGAAACCAAACAGAGACACAAAGACAATGCGCTCACAGCTTCCCTCAGCTGAGGAAGTCCCTGAAGAGGACATTATCTGCCAGAACTTCCCTGAACCGAGAAGATTACATTTCCGTCTGTAAATCATCTGCTGCTCGACCTGGACCTCTAGTGACGGTGTAACGTCCTCATTATCAGAAGAAAACAACGAGTCTCTCCGGCAGACGCTCTCTGTACCTGCAGGAGGATCACCAGCAGTTTCTGATAGTGACCCGACGTGTCGCCGCAGATATCCTTCTCCAGCTTTCCGTTGAACTCTGCAGGAAAGAGGAGAAGCGGAGCAAAAGACGGATTACACTAACGGGCGCAATCGACCCAAGTGGAGGAACCGTCCCCGTTGTGCAACAGGGATCTGGACACAGTGGCGTCTTTCATCCCGATCGGATAAACTGGCCTCTCTGCCTCTGGCCCTTGTTGTGTTGCCACATTAACTTCTGTCTTGTCGTTTGTTGCAATTTGAAGCTGCTGTTTGACGAGAAGTCCTGGTTCCGTCTTCTGATGTAATGTATTTACGTTACCACACTGTAACAAATTTCTGTAAATTTACGGTGCATTTCTAACGGTATCTTACAGTATGTCATAATAACTGTAACATACAGTTAAATTTCCATCCCTTGCTTTTAAATTGACGGCCAATGTCATGAATAAACAGTTAAAGCTGTCAATTTACAATAATAGCAGACTACCGTAATTCAACTGCATGTTATATTTTATGAAGTGGTGGAAATACACATACAAGTGCAGTGAATCACAATCCATCTTTTGTAGGTTAATGTATGGAAGCCCATGTCAGCCACTGAAAAACAGGTCCTGAAGTCATCATAAAGAGATAGTATCTCATGAGATACGATGATGACTTTGACTTACAGGACATTACTATACATGCAGCTGTCACTTTTATTCAAAACACTCATGGTTTGACATCATTTTATGTGGAGTATTTGGGGGTTAGGTGTCTTGCTCAGGGACACTTTGACTTTGCAAAGGGAGCTGCCAGGATTCGAACCGCTATAAGTAAACGGTAACACTCTGGTATTTATAACACAAATACAGTAATCGTATGGTAACAAACTGTAATCCAATACACGACAACATACCTTAAATTACGGTAGGGCACTGTAAATAAAACAGTAAGTTACTAGCGTCGACTGACAGTAAATTGCAGTTAATTCACAGTAACATTTGTTCACGTTTACGGTAACATACAGTAATCCATTTTACGGTAACATAGTGCAAAAACTATTTACGGTATACCATAAAATAACGGTAAATTCCTGGCGTCCTTGCTGCCAGTAAAATACCGTTAATTTACGGTGAATTTTTTTTAGAGTGCATGGTTATGCCACCATTTATCCTTCACGGTTGTTGCATTACAAAATCGTGTGTAGCCGGGACAGAAAACCATCAATTAATTCCATGTAGATTTGATACAGAAATAAAATATTCTTGATTGTGTCAAACTAGCAAAATCAGTCACCTTCACTGTGTTTTTATCTCTCTCTCTGTTTCACGGCTGAGCGGCTCACCTTTCTTGTACACTTTGATGATATCTTTAACCTGTTTGCCGGTCCTGGAAGCCAGGATCTCAATCAACACGTCGTCCTCAGTGCCGGCGCCCTGAGACAAACACAATAACAGACAACATGGATTTGTGCGGGAGAATCTTTCGTTTCATCCTCCCGTCTTGTTACATCATCCTGGTGGAAGAAAACCTGTAACGTGTGTCAGCACAACCGAAAGAAGAGAAAGAAAGACTCAGATGAATGATTCCAAGCCAATTCTCCTCTCTGTTGTTGACCTTCCACGAAAAAACCCCTGACACGCCAGACACGTGGAGCAGGTGTGACGGGAATGTCGAGGTCGAGTCCTCAATGCTTTGCCTTCACTTTGATTGAACCTTTTGTTGGTGATGTTTGTACAAAAAGTGAATGTGGTTTAATCTAAAGTGAAATCCATTTGAAACTTGGATCCAGGAGTTTGCTGAAGCTTCAAACCTTTGTGATATGGTGGTAAGTAAAGGACGCCTCAAGGAAATACGACCTGAAACATTAATCATTTATATAACTGTTAAATGAACTGGGTAATAGATCCAGCCTACAGCACTAATACACATGCATGCTCTGTAACGCGTGCTACTTGAGCGTGACATGTTATCCACTTGTGCCACAGTAGACGGATAGTGTCGAGACATCCAACACACAACATCGTTCTGTCACGTGATGGTGAGGCCGTATTGTATCTCGAGATTAAACTGAAGATCGATTCTCATTACGGAGCAAAAAGGGATTTATTGATCAGAGGGTAATGAGTCTCATGGAAGCTCATTGCTGTTGTAAGAACCATGTATGTATTTTTTAGTTTCCAGTGGACCGACGTGGGACAAATGTTGCTTTGATCCCACTTGTTATGTTATGTTGTTAAATCTGTAAAGTAACGAGCAACTTACATTACAAAGTTAATTTAGTGGACTAAAAAGTACAATATTTTGCCTCTGAAATGAGAGCATTGATGTACAAGGTAGCAGCAAATACTCGAGGAAAGCACAATAATGTCAATGGTACTAAAGTGCAGCATTTGAATGTATTTAGATACATTCCATCTCTGGATAATTACCAATCCATTAACCCTTCTAAATGCCATATAGCTATATATATAATGCAGTTCCACTGAAGGCTATGCTGCATGCTGGTTTAATAGAAGGGCGTTTTCATGCCTGTGTTCCTGCAGACGAGCTGAAGGGAGACACACTAAAAAGGCCTCTCGCTCAGATGACTGTGGGAACACCTGTGCACAAATACCTGAATAAACCCCATTGTCTGAGCGTTTAATTTGCATATACGACCTGCAATTAAGTGGAGTGCCTGAGGAAAAGGTTTCCATTAGTTACCTTGAGAGCTTTGTGCAGCTGGGAAGCGTCATATGAGGAAGGCGGCGTCATCAACGCCACGATCAGATGCTCAAACAGCCCACCGAGCTCCGATTTCAGGGCGCTCACCAGGTCCTGATGTGGGGAAGAGAGGATTAATGACTGGAGCAACGAAAACAATCTTTAACTGTGTTTGTATTGAACCTAATGTTGCATAACTTAAATACTGTTAAACATTAAGGTAGAACAAATGAGCTGGGTGCGGCTTTAAGCTGCACATAGAAAAAATCTTTAAAATGCACGAAAAACACCTCCAAGCAATGTAGATTATCGAGACTGTAATAAAAAGGGAGCAACCCCTGTGTCAAAGAGATGGAGTGACATGTCAATGCTTTGCTCCCATTTACCGAGAAATTAAGATATTCACAAGAAATGAATGTGCATAACAGAAGAAACATATTTTCCCTTTAGTTGCTGGAACTAGCGACAAATCAAGCAGCCAATATTCCTTATTGCCTTCCATATGCAATGAATCACATATTCGAGCGCTGCTGCAAGCACTACCTGATTAGAGTGGCTGTAAAGAGTGAGTAATGTGTGTGTGTGTGTCTGTGTGTGTGTCTGTACACACAAAACACCCGAGGGATCCTCAGGACCTGCTGTGCTCTGCCGGTTCAATATGAGGTCACACACTCGCCTCTTTAACAGCTCAACACAGAAGACCTTTATTTATCTAGATGACATCATTCCTCTGCCCTTTGAGTTCTCTCCATTTCAAACCAAATTCCCATAAGAGGTTTGAGAAAAAAGCAGAAATGACACAATCAGGCTAAAACGTTACAGAAAGAGCACGAACCCTGCAAGAGGTACTTTTGAATGTCAAAGTATCCTTTTTAACAGCATACACATTTTTCTCTTTACGTTCTCTCTTTACTTCAAATGGGTGGCCGCAGTTTCTCTTTTGCAATCACCGCATTTTATAACATGTGATGGAAGAAATGCTAAAAACATTTTGATAACACTGCAATATTTAGAGACACGCCAGGAGCTTTTTTCTCTTAAGACGTCTCATCTATTGTACTTTAGTGCGCGCTCACATTTGCTTTTCAATAACCTCCAGGAAAAACTAATAAACCTGCTGCTTTCAATCCACAGGGGGTCATGAAACCTGCCAGTGAGAGAAGAAGAGCACCTCTTGTATAACGGACTCCCGTCGGGTCTACAGAGGCTTTAGGAAAGGAGTCTTCCCGCTTGCTCCTCTGTGAACTCTTCCCCGTGTGACCGTCGAATTTAACAGGCGGTTTCGACTCTCGCTCTTTGTTTCTTAATGAAAGAAAACCGTGATTACCCAATAACTTCCAAACCTTCCAGGCCCCCTTGAGGAAAAGCCGCGATGCACAAAGCCCGATACACTACGTCACATGCCGAGGTTCTCCACGAGTAACAATGTAGGTCGTCGAGAGCTCTCGGTTTGCGTTCCTGGCAGCTCGGCTTACCTTTCCGTAGGCCTTTTTGAACTCTGCTTTAATTTGCTGCCGTTGATCGTTGCTGCGTGCCGACAGAAGCATGAAGACCACGTCCTCATCCGTACCTGCAACAGAGGTCCAGCGAGCGTGACATGAAGAACGAGCTGCCCGAGCTTCAGGTAACCACATACATGCAGCTCTATGGATCTTGGATCTTCTCATCGTGCTTCTTTACAATTACAATAAGAAAACATGATGAGTGGTTTTCATCACTAAGTCATTACACAGTGATTCCAAACTGTTATAACAAGCAGCCCACCGTCTGCTTCTGCCATCGTGTCATAAAACTCTGCTCATTACTAACTCTGCGGCGGTGTTTTTTCCACAGGCATCATTTGGTGGCTCAGACGTGTCGTTGTGTTTTTGTTATACGGTTTCAGCTTAAAACTTGGTGACACTTGGTTTCTCTTCTAATTAGACACGGAACTCCCTCTAGAGATTGAAATCATTTCCCATCCGCCAAAAGACGGCTCGGGTTGTTTGTCGGCTTCCCTGACAGCTGTGTGGTTATTATAGTTGGAATCCTGCTTCAGCACAACTGTGGTTTGTGTGTGTGTGTGTGTGTGTGTGTGTGTGTGTGTGCACTGTGTACGGAATGCAGATTGCGCTCATCTCTCCGACACGAGACATCGGGTGATGCGTCAGCAGCACTGACCGATTCCCTTCATGGCTCTACGGAGAACTTCAGCGTCCTGTTTGGCGTTGAAGTTGACGAAAGGTCTCACGCTGCCTCTGTAGGCCTGTGGGCAGAGAGCGGAAGACACAGAGGCATTTTCGATGTAGATTGTAAACCTCGGGTGTCATGAACGTGTTTTTTGCACATCTCAATCTAAAGGGCCACTCCGTAGAGTTCAGGTGTTTCCAGGTGAGGTGGAGGACGGCAACCCCCCCAGAACCTTGTGCCATCCATGACAGGGTGTGGTTTGTCCATTCTGGGCTACTGTAGAAACACCTCGTCGTGTTAGATATAAACTGCTCATTCTAAGGTTATTACAGATTAAAGAAAACCTCGTTGATGATATTTTATTCCATTTATGTCAATCTATCCCCCTAAAGGATCCGCGCTGGGCCCTCTCGGGAAATAAAAAGTAATCACTTGTCAAATAACATGATAATTGGACTGCATGTGCCTTGAAGGGATGATAAAACAACATTTTTAAGTTTTAGTGCTCTCTGATGGGTTTCAAGTGCTTTCCGACACTCTTCAAAATAAAACCGTGGGCATGAATATTTAAAGAAAAGTACTGAATGTCACTGCATCGCGGTAGCTGCACCATAAAAACATTTTATAGCTGACAAAACTCACCTGGGTTTGAATGTCGTTTCTCCAAACTGAAAGTACTTTTTAACCTCACGTGAGTCCGGCTGCTGCTGCTGTCTTGTGTCATTCTTAAAAATGTGTTACACTTGTAGATTGTTCTCTCGAAAATTTATTTAGAAGAAAAAGCACTAAACTCTGACAAAATCTGTCGCTGCTGCAGGCTTATAACGATCTCTGAGCAGGTGGTAAGATATCAGTATATAATTATGCAGTATATAAAACACAATGCACCCTACTTTTTTTAAAACAATAAAACTTGCCACGAGCTATTTAAACCCATACGTCTTCACTGGGATGACTGAACCTGTGTTGCTCAAGGTCGAGGTTACACGTTAAGTCTTTTATTAGCATTTGGCCCCATCTTCTACAAAGACACCAAAACTGCCATGATAGCATTATGGTATCTTTACATCTGTCATGGAATGTAGATCACACATGCTAAGGTCCACACAACGATGAATCCTAACTGCTTTTAATCTATCACCACCAGCAGGTCAAACGTTTTACTGAAAATACAAAACAGTTTACGAGTTCAGTCTTCAGCTCTTCACATGTCTGGGTCTGGCTGCATGGCCTATTGTGTATACATAGATAGATACACACACCACTTTATTGGGACACCATAATAGTAAAAGGTTGACATCAGGGTTCGGGTTATGTCATACAGAAAGTATTAAGTATTAACAAGGTCTATTGTGGGAGGGCGTCTGCTAAACATTTTTATGTTTTCCCCATTTCTTGATCTTTAAGTCATAAAACTGATAGATGCAACATTTTCATGAGTTTTATGATCAAATATATTGGCAAACATTTGTCAAAAGAAGGGCTGCATCTCAACGAGCACTGATTCCTGAAGAGAGAGACAATTATAGCTGATCAGCAACACCTGTGACACCTGCAGCATGGGTATATGTAACCTGCCACGCGGCTCAGATTGCATTTCCTGTTGGTGACTGAAGTGATGGGAGCGTTTTGGGCCTTGCTTGTGTCTGTGCTGGCTGTCTGGTTTACCAAAGGTATTTCTATTTGTTTCTATTGAAAACTTCTATTCAGTAAATCCGCTGTGGAGTATCGTACATGTAAGGATGATGAAGGAACTTTTGATGAAGGACTTACTTTTGCACCTTCTTTATCCGTAGGCTCTGGTTTGCCGGTCGGTGATGCAAATGAAATGCGTGGTAATGGGCCGCAGAGGACAATGAGAGGTAAGGATATTTGGTGACTGAATATTTTTTAGCTTTGACACTGACTTAATTTTTTTTAACTCTAGATGTGTCTCCTAATGACGCCTCCATAACGAAGGTCCTTACGCTTCACCAGTCACATGAGTCTGTGTTCCTGCAGAAGTCAAAAAAAGGTGCGCAAGCTCTACTTCTCACTATTGGATTCATGATTGTCCATATATGGATCATTTCATTAAAGATTTTGGTACCTGAATGTAATTTGTGTCTTGATTTAATGTCTTTACTTCAGTCCAACTGGAAACCAATGAAGTGGAAGCTAAGGCATCGGCTGTCTACCTGAAAGTTGAACATGCGCAGCGCGGCGGCCCCATCGGTGCCAAGGGTAGCCGCAACATGGGCCACAACGGTACTCTGGACGACAGTGTGGGCCACAACAGCACTGTAGGCGACTACGCAGGCCAAAATGGTGGTGCGGGCAACAATAACG